ATCCCCTGGCGGTAAGGAGCGTGACCGGGGCGGAGAGGGGGAGGGGGGGGGAGCTGCTCACGCCACGGTTCGCGCCCGGGCGTTCGGGGAATGCTCAGGGACGGCGCATTCCTAGGATGCCTGGGAATGCCTAGGAATGCCCAGGGAGGAGGAGGAGGAGGAGGAGGAGGAGGAGGAGGAGGAGGAGGAGGAGGAGGAGGAGGAGGAGGAGTAGGAATGAGGAGGAGGAGGAGGAGGAGGAGGAGGAGGAAGAGGAGGAGAAGGAGGAGGCGGAGGAGGAGGAGGAGGGGGAGGAGGAGGAGGAGGAGGAGGAGAAGGGAGAGGTGCCGCAGGTTCGCGTCGTGCCGACGCGGCGGCGAACCCGCTGGGCGTTCAAGGTTGAACGCCGCCAGCGGCCCAGAATCGGCCAATGTGGAACGACTGGCGATCGAAGTCGAGGTCGAGCAGTCCACGCGCTGTCAGAAACCAACGCTGGGGTCGTCACGACACGATCTTGCCGTACGCTCGTGTCGTGTTGACGCGGCGGCGACCCCCGGCGTGGGCGTTCAAGGTTAAACACCGCCGGTCGCTTGGCATCGGAGGGCATCGAAGGATTTGAGCAATCGGAAGTGCGCGATCGTTCAAGGTTGAACGAGCCACGCAGTGTAAAAAAACAAAGCCGGCGTCGTCACGACACGAACCCCTGCCGCACCGATACTAGTCGGTACCGACTGGTCTGGTCGGCCGCGACCAGAAAGCTCGGGCATCCAATGATCAGGGCTTGCCTTGCTTTCGCCTTCCTGACCCTCCTGGGAGGCCCTCGTCGCCACGGCCAGCCCTGCCTCGAAGTGCTGGTCAGAGCGCACCCTCGCCGGGGTCCGCGGGGTAGCGGTCTCGGCATTTAGCTGACCCCCCAGGACCGGCTGCGGGCGCTCGACGCCAAGGGCTTCGCGGCGGGCTTCTGCGCCCCGTGATTGCCGTCGCGGCTCCCTGACAGCCTCTCGTTGTGGACGGGTTTTCGTGGACGATCGGCCTTTGAGAGGCCCTCACTGGGCCCCAGGACCTTCAGAAACCGACTCGGGATGAAGAGCTGGTCCCGGGGGAGGATGCCCAGGCTTCCCTCTCGGGAGCAAAATCACGACGGAGGATGTTTGGGTTGCCGTCGTCGTCGCCGTCGGCGGCGGATGCGTTGTCGGCGTCGTCGTGGGTCGGACACGAGGGGGGTTTGGAGGAAGGGAGGAGGAGGAGGAAGAGGAGGAGGAGGAGTAGGAGGAGGAGGAGGAGGAGAAGGAGGGACCAGCTGAAGAAAAGAGGAGAAGAAGGGCGGAGGAGGAGGAGGAGAAAGAGGGAAAGGCGGATGAGGGGGAAGAGGAAAACAGACCAGGAGGAGGGGGACGCGACTCCAAGTAGTATGATGATGATGCTGCTGATGATCTGCTGACGACGACGACGGCGATGATGCTGACGATGATGAGGAGGAGGAGGATGAGGACGAGGATGAGGATGAGGATGGGGATGCTGACGATGGTGTCGATGACAATGATGATGAGGATTATGATGGTGCTGGTGATGGTTGTGGTGGTGACGTGGTTGATGATGATGATGATGATGATGGCGACGATGCTGATGATTATGGTGATCATGAGTATGAGGATGACGGTGAGGATGAGGATGAGGATGCTGCTGCTGTTGATGATGATGGTGATGATGATGACGACGACGACGATGATGATGATGATGATGATGATGATGATGATGGTGATGATGATGATGATGATGATGATGATGATGATGATGATGACTATGATGCCGATCGTGATGAAGATGATGATGGTGATGATGATGGTGATGATGATGATGATGACGATGATGATGATGATGATGATGATGATGATGATGATGACGAGGCTGAGGAGGAGGAGGAGGAGGAGCAGGAGGCATCGTCGCCCCGATTGGGCAAGAGGGGAAAAGACATCTGCCAAGTGCAGCGGGTTTTGAATCCGCCGACGGGCGCTTCCCTCGATACATTTCATTGGCGCTCCTGTGCCAGAGACGCCAGGCAAACCGGCTGCATGCTGCTGGTCCGCTATTGCCACTTTGCTGTCCCTTACACTCGTCCGATCCGATCGTCGTCGTTGACGTCGGCGGCGTCGTCGTCGCTTCGCGTCTCAGGGCTCTGTGAGCGGAATCGAACATCGAGGATCGCTGCTCGGTCTTTCGGGTTCTCCCGGGGAGCGGCGTTGAGGGGAGGGTCGGGAGCTTTTAGACGGGGTCGATGCAAACGAGGGTCAGTCAGAGCGCCGGATCTTGCAGGATCCCGCAGAGTCAGGGGCGCTCACACCCGGGCTGGGGCGCAGGATTCTGCAGGACCCTGCAGGACCTTGCAGGATGCTGCAAAGCCTGGCTGACCCGGGCCTGGATTCCCCTGGGCCAGCAGAGCCCCGAGAGGGGGAGGGGCGAGGAGGGAGAGCCTGAGCTTCCGAGTCTCCGGGCGTTCTCGTCGGCTCCAGGAGGCTCTCCTGCCTCGGGGTGCTTTGCAGCAGCTGCGCCTGGCAGGGAGCGTTCCAGGGGTTCGAAGAGATCGCCCCGAGCGGAAAGCCCCGAGTTCTGACCAGAAGGCACGACGCCGTGGGACAGGGGAGGAGGAGGAATGAGGTACAGTCAACCCGCAAGTCAGGATGAGGGAGCCTTCTGAGGTTACCTCTGCATCCTTGCCCCTTAGGCACATCGTTGGCAGCTGTCGCTGGCCAGCCCTGCTCGGAAAACGCCAAGATGGTTTTCCAAGACCCTTGCATCCCTATCGCGCATCCTGTTTTTCTTTCTTCTCGTCGCCACGGCTGGGTTCCCCTCGAAACTCTGGTAAGGATGCACCCCTCGACAGGTCCAGGGGTCGAGCACGAGGAGAAAAAGAAGGACCCAGACCCCATCGTGCCGTGAGGGCATCACGGCTGAAACTCTCTGGGCCGTCGACAGAAGGACCCAGGGTGAGAAACTAGTCCCAGGGAAGGGGTCGGGACCTCGAGGGGTCCACGTTTTTTGAACAAAGTCACGGCGTCGTGGGTGCGCAGGGTCAGGCAGCATCGGGAAGCCGAGTCGAATCGGGTCGTGTGTCGGATGGGGCCGCAGCGCAACAGGGCCTTGGCTGACTCGGGTCAGCGCTAACCCTGGCCAGCCAAGGCCATGTGTTGCGAGCCGTGGCCAAGGCCCCCAGAGGACCCGAAGGCTCAACATCGTAGGAAGTCATAACCCGAATCCTGACACCATATTCTGCGGCGTCTCTCGAGCCGGATCGATCTCTGAGGGCCTTGCGGCCCGAGCGTCGGCGAAATCGCCCGGCGTGAAACAAGAGCGGCGCCGGGATCAGGATCAGGATCAGGGTTGAGCACCGGAGGTAGATCATCCTTGAGATCCGATGTCACGAACAAAAACAACAATACTGTAGAAGAACTCGACGGGCTAGCTGGACTCAATCTTTCTGCGGCAGCTCTTTTTGGTCCAGATGCATCTTTCATGGTCCCTCGGCCCGAGATAGGGCACAATGTAAAACATGCGTCGCCAGGATCTCATCAAGTACTTAAAACAATCGCCCAACTCCACAAACGCGAGCGCTAAAACAGGATGCAGGCTCCTTGTGGTTTTTGGGACAGATTTCGGGTTAGGGCTCTGCGTGAGGGGCCTTGGCGAACGCAAACCATACCCCGAAATCTGTAGCCGATTCTCGCAACCTTGGTCCTTCCGCGATTGTGGGATCGGGATCGTTTTCTCTCGTGGCCATTCCAGAGATCGAGGATCGAACATCCAGTGCACCGAGCATCGAGCGCGTACAGCATGGCATCTGCAGGAACCCAGGGGCGAGGCCACGGCGGGCGTGCGGCCGGGCGGCAAAGGCGGAGCTGCAGCGGCTGAGGGAGAGGTCGCCGCCGCACGCCAGAAGCGGCTCGCTGAAAGGCCCCTGCCGCGCCCGCCCCTGCCGCGCCCGCCGCCGCCGTCGCCCGCCGCCGTGATCGTCGTCGTCTGCGTGGTCGTCGTCGTCGCCGTCGTCGTCGTCGTCTTCGTCGCTGCCTTTGCCGTCGTCATCGTCGTCGCAGTCCTCGACATCGTGGCCGTCGCCGCCGCCGCTGCCGCCGCCGCTGCCGCCGCCGCTGCCACCGCTGCTGCCGCCGCCGCTGTCGGGCGATCGAGAGCCGAGATTTTTTGGTTTTGGTTTTGGTTTTGGTGCAGGTTTTGGTGCATGTTGGTTTTGGTGCATGTTTTTTGGTTCGGGCCTTCTGGGCGGCCACAAGGGAGGCCTCCCTCGGGGACCCTCGACGAGGCCTCCCCGCTTCTGAAAAGACCTCTGGAGCTTCCAGAGGCGGAGGTGGACGTCGGTCGTGGATGGACATCGTCCTCGTCCTCGTCCTCGTCCTTCTCGTCCCCGCCGCCGCCGCCGCCGCTGTCGCCGCCGCCGTCGTCGTCGTCGTCGTCGTCGTCGTCGTCGTCGTCGTCGTCGCCGTCGTCGTCGTCGTCGTCGTCGTCGAATGCCGCGGAATGTTTCAGGCAGTTTAGGCGCAGTGGCGTACATCTCATTGTTACAAACCCGTTCTAGCATCGATGCTCCAGGGTCATTCGTAATGGACGTGGTGCGGTGGCGGCACCGTTTGCTTCTCGCGCTGGTGTGCGGGCGCCGACGATGCCTCGCCATTCAAGCCGTTGCGCACCACCTTGATCGTCGGCTGGAGCCCCTTGTCAGTCTCAAAAGTCACGAGGGCAGGCTCGAGGCCATCAACATCGAATTCAAGAATTTGGGCGAGATCAAGCACGAAGATCCACAGCCGAGCTGGAGCCATTCATCACAGTGAACGTACTAACCATCACTTCAAGATTACGTCTGGATTCATTTTGGGTGGACACGAGGTGCAGGTACCAACTCGAGTTCTGGCTGTAGCATTGGGCTCTCTAGGAAAACCTACCGCGAACCCAACATTACCCGAGCTGTTTCCCCACCATCACACACAAGGGCGTGGTGGAATCGTCGATTTGGCCTCAATATTTCACCGAGTACGATCTATTGTTGCATGAGTTTCACCTTCACCACGTCTTCCACGCGATCGTCCATTCTGGAAGCGTACCTGCCCACAGGTATGGAACGGGCTTCTGTCAGAGATCAATGCCGACCCTGAACATGTAACGTCGGTAAGGTTCAACGATATGAATACGCGATGTGGTCAAATGGGCAGTTCGAAGTGCATTGACGAATGCACTGGGCCGTGCCAGTTTGGCCCAGAGGATGACGTGCCGAAGATGACACATCAAGGTGTACATCGTCATGAATTATGTTTAATGTACACGTGGTGGGACTTCTGTCGTTGTTTTCGGCAACAGCAAGGAAACAAAACTTGTTTCATCAGATCATTTGGCTTGGCCCACGTCGTTTTATTCATGAACGTGGGCGGCATACCCAAAGTAGATTACGATCGTTGGAACGTATGACTGACCACGTACCCATGCTTTTTGGAATGCGAGTTGCAGCCCTTCGCCAACTCCAGCCAGAAACCCGAAAACTTCGAAGCCGTTAGAGACGGGATGAACACATCATTCACAAACAATCCACCTGGCCCCCTCCTGCTTGCGGGCCGCAGCCCCTGATCCAGACCAAGGGGGAAACAAAGTTGCGATGGCCGCTCCCGGTCGACTTCGCGCCGCCAGGGCGGCGGGCGCATGCAAGGGGCATGCCTCCGCTCGTCGGCGGCGAGCGAGGGGGGGGAAATGAGAAGGCCTTCTCAGAAGGCGGCGGGACCGGGACTTCTCAGAAGCCCTCGCGCCTCCCGAGAGGTTTTCTCTGTATCTTCGGGGTAGGCTTTCCGAACTTCTCAGCAGGCCGGGCGACTTCCGAGCCTTCTCAGCAGGCCCGCCCGTTCTCATTCCAGGGGGCCACACGCGAGCCCTACCCCTACCCCCCCCCACGATTTCTGAGGGGGAGGGTGGGGTTCACTTCGTTCGGGAGTTCCCGAGCGAAGTGAGCCCCACCCTTCCCCTCAGAAATCGTGGGGGGTAGGGGTAGGGCTCGCATGTGGCCCCCTACACTTCTCCCTCGGGCTCGCCGCCGAGATCACTTCCCCCCTCTGACTCGCTGCCGACCAAGCCCCTTGCAGGGGGGCGGTGCGCCTCCGCCCCCGGGCTGCCATAGGGGCCGGGCCCTCGCGCCAGCAGCAGTCGTGGGGCCGCTGCGCCCACGGCCTGGTCTTGGATTTGTACGCCCGAAATGGGTACAGAAAGAATGGGTACAATGCCCAACAACAACAGAAAGAATGGGTACAGCGGCCGCTGTTGGGCAGGCGACCTTCTGTCTCAAATGGGCACAGGCCGCGGCGGCGCGGACAGCGAGCCCTGTTCAAAATGAACAGGAACTGCTGTTGGGCATCGTACCCATTCTTTCCGTACCCATTTCGAGCGTCCAGACTGGATCGGGCAGGGCCAGACCAGCCAGCACAGGGGGTGTGGGGGGGGCAGGGGGGAAGGTCGAAGGAGAAAACACTTCGTCAACATAAACTTTGGGCGCTCCGCGCAGGCTTCTTGCATCGGCGCTGATCCCCCCTGGCGGTGCCTTCGGCGCCGCCCCTGGCGCGCCCCGCGCGCTGGGGAGAGGGGTCCGCCGCGGATCCAAGAAACCCGCGCGGACCTTTAAAAGTTTAGGTTTATGTTGTTTTTTGCTCCTCTAGAGAGGCGAAACCTGCATTCGCCGTCTTCTCCCACACCTTCGTCTCCTCCTCCTCCCTATACTCCTCCTCATCCCCCCCACTTTTCCCCCTAATCATCGGCATTCGCCTCTTCCTTCTTCTCTTCCGCGACCCTCTGGAATCCTCGGGAGACATCCGAAGGCCACAAGAAACCACGAACAGCGTCGGAAGACGTCCAGGAATCTTTACGACAGCGACGACGACAAGAACTCCAGGGGACTTCCTGCGACATCCGAACAGCAGCACAAACCAAGAGAACAATGGGAGCGTGCGCAAACGTAAGCGACAATGACGACGACGACGACGACGACGACGACGACGACGACGACCGCTGGGCCTCCGAAGACGGCGCTGCCGCCCGCCCCCGCCAGGCGGGTCCCAGTCCTGCTACGGCGGCTTCAGGCTCTCGCGGGGCGCGCGGAGGGGGAGGGAGCTTTGGGGAGGGGCGGGGGAGGAGGGGCAGCGGTGGGCAGGTAAGGGGAAGAGGCGCAGGAGGAGGAGGAGGAGGAGGAGGAGGAGGAGGAGGAGGAGGAGGAGGAGGAGGAGAAGAAGAGGAGGAGGAGAGTAGGACGAGGAAGAGGAGGAGGAGGAGGAGGAGGAGGAGGAGGAATGAGGAAAGAAGAAGAAGAAGAACAATACATAACAATAGTAATAGGAGGGGAGTGTGTCTATCGACCCCCCCCTTTCCCTGCGAAACTATATCCCGCTCCGCCCCAGAAAATGATTCTCCGCACCCAGAACCCTCAGCGCGAGATCCCACGAAGATGGTCCCAACAAGACCCCAATGAGATTAGAATCGGATCCTTGCAGGAATCCTGAAGGATTCCTGGGGGATCCTGAGGGACCCCGAAGATTCTCGGCGAATGCAGATTATTCCTGAAGGGGTCTGAAGTTCCCAGCCAGATTCCTGAAGATTCCTGCAGGATGCCTGCAGGTTTCTTTTGGATTCCTGAGGACTCCTTAAGGCTCTTGTGAATTCTTAAAGGATCTCAGAGGGTTTCCGGAAGGATTCGCGAAGGATGCTCAGGATTCTGGAACGGTTCCTGAAGGATTCTTGGGAGACCTTTCGGCTTCCTGCGGGTCCCTGAAGGCTCCTGAAGATTCCTGGAGATTCCTGAAGGAGCCCTGGGGGTCCCTGGGGACTCTTGATGGTTCTGCTCAGATTCGCTAGGTTTCCCCAATATCCCAAACATTCCTGAAGCCCCCCCCCTTAAGTATAGCCCCCCAGGCGCGGCGGCGCGAGCTGAGGTTGCGGCGCGAGCGCCAAGCAGGAGTAGGAGGAGGCGGACGAGGAGGAGCAGGGCGATGAAGGAGGACCAGAGTGAACCCAAGATGCTTCAAAATCGTTGCGACCTCCCGCCCCAGCCCTTGCCCGCCTGCATGGCAAAACGGGCCGCCCTCCGCCCGCGTGTCTGGTACAGAGAATCAGATCCAGCCCGCAGCTGCTAATTCTGAGCACAGCACTGCGCTGACACGTGACCGGCGTTGGAGGCGAGGTGCTGTCAGGAAGAAAACAGAGTGCTCTCCCGTACCTTCCCTCTTCCTGAATCGATCCAGGCAGCGGGAGGCGCCGTGGGATCACGGGTTTTTGCGCGCGCCGGCTCGCCAGGGGCCCCGAGATGTCTGAAGCGAAAACCATGTTTTGAAAGGGAAGCGACCTCCTCCCTTGTCTTCTCCTGTATACGAAGTATGTCTTAAGTCCTGTTACGCTTGCTCGTGCTACCAGTTCTGAACTGGCCAGAAGAGGTTGTGGCAGGGGCACATTTCAAAGCACTCGCACGAAATGATGCAGGCGGTGAGGGCGGGAGTGTTATTCCTGAGAGTGGCGCGTAGTTCAGGACCGCCACGGAAACCATGCAACGTCGAGCGTGATTAAACATAGTATGTGCGGTTGGGCGCTGGGTTTGCAAATGAGAACAATATCGTCGAATCTCGTTTTAAATCGAATCCGTTTATTTATGAACTGTTGCTCAAGGTGACCATTTTCCTTTATTGCCCCAGGTGGAGGGGGGCGGGCCGATTTCAGAATACGGGTGCTAAATCACGCAGGTGGTGCGGGGGGGGGGGTATTCTGGGGCTGGAAAGCCCGTCGCGGCCGCCAGGAAAACCGTGCGAGGTCAAGTTGTAGCAAATCGGAACGGCATGGGAGGAAGTTTAGCGTTGCGTAGAGATCTGATCAGGGGGGTTGCGCTGCGTTGGAATCGTCGGCATTGCGCAGCCTTGATACTCCAGGATTCCTTGAAGATTCCTGAGGGTTCCTGTTGGTGCCTGAGGGACCCGTCGGGCTTCCTAGCCTTCTCGAGGATCCCTGAGGATGTATATAGATTTCTCAGGAGTTCTGTCGGGTTCAGAAGAATTCCAGAGAATTTCTGCAAGTGTTTGCCGACTCTTGGAGGATTTCGTGGGGAGTCACTCGCAGTCCTCAATAGGCCCCATGGATTCCAAAAGGGCCCTTCAGATTCCTACGGATTTCTGAAGTCCCTGGAGGCGTCCAATTTGATTCCTGAGAGATTCCTGGGGGTTCTTGCGTTTCCCCGAAAAATGTCTCGGGATTCCTGCTGGAATCCTAGAGGACTCGTTGGGATTATTGAAGTATTGACCAACCAATTCGGGTGCTAACGATGTCGCTGGGCGGTCCCCCACCTCCTCGGGGGTTGGTTTGCTACTTTTGGTGCTGCGGGTAACGGGGGGGAATCGATAACGGGGGCCTCGGATTGTAATGCCATTCAGGAAGTGACCGAGGGAGGATGAGGAAGTCGAGGGCGATAGTTTTGGACGTGGAGCAGCAGCAGCATGAGGAAGACAAGGTGGCGGCGAAACTCCGCGAAGGGAGCGGGAAGAAATTCGTCGGGCTATCGCGTCCGGCCCGGGACGGCGTATCCTCTGGGGGAGGCTGCAATCTGATGTATAGCCGTTCCGCGACGAGCTTGGCCGCTCGGCGCGAACAAGTGCGAAACCAGTAACTTGACAATGAGCTCTCTGTACGTATGGGGATGGTTCCGTCCCGTTCGAGGAGGAGAGGAATAGGAGATGGGGAAGGGAAGTGGAGGAGGAGGGGGGAGGAGGATGCAGGGATGAATGGAGCTGGCAAGGAGGCGGAGGGAAGCTGTGGAAGCTGTGGGATACGACAACTTTAGTCGTCGCCGAAGGTTGCACCTCGACGAAAAGGTGCGCTGGGACAGGACAGGGGATTGACGCCCGCCCACTCGCGGCTACCTTCGTCGAGGTGGTGTGTGATTCCGCTGGCGCTGGGGTGAACGATACACCCGCTTGTGGAAACACACAGGCCCTGATATTGTGGACCCCGCTGCGCCGACCCTAGTACTGCGGGCGAGCTACGCGGACCCAGTAGCGCAAGAATTGCAGAATCTGTGAAATCAACCCATGCTGTGACGTAGTTGAACCCTTCACCACGGCAGAGAAAGGCCGCCTTCTTGTCCCCAGCGCCCTGAGTCGAGCTCCATGATCGTGTCCCGTTCGCGATGGGTTGCGATGGCACCAGGACGAGGTACCATTCCCCTGCGGAGGGGAAAGGCGGTGAACGGAGGGGGAGGAGGAGGAGGAGAAGGAAAAAGAAGAAGAAAAAGAAGAGGAAGATGAAAAGGAGGATGGGTGGGAGAAGGATGAAGAGGAGGAGGAATAGAGGATAGGGAAGGGAAGGAGAAGGGGGGGTGGAGGAGGGACGCGAGAGGAAGGACGAGGAGAAGGAGGAGAGATGGAGGAGGCGGAACCAGGGAGGAGGAAGAGGAGGAGGAGGAATGGAGGACGTAAGGAGGAGGAAGAGGAGAACAAGGAGGAGGAGGCCAGGAGAAGGGATAGAAGAGGAGGAGGAAGAGGAGGAGGAAGAGGGATGAAGGAGAGACGAGGGAAAAGGAGAAGGAGGCGAAGGAGGAGGAGGAGGAGGAGGAGGAGGAGGAGGGAGGGATGAAGGAGTAGGAGTACAAGGAGGAGGAGGAGGAGGAGGAGGAGGAGGAGGAGGAATGGAGGAATAGAGGAATGGAAGAATGGAGGGGGAGGGAGGAGTGAGGGGAAGGGGAGGAGACAGAGGCACGGAAGACGACGGGTGCCGCCTTCGCGTGCCGTTCTCGCGCCCGCCCACGGCCCCGAGAGGTTCTCGAGCCCGGGCGGCTCCGGGGACGCCTTCGCCTCGGCGCGGTCGCCCGAGGCGACGCTGCGCCCGAGCGCCCGTGCCGAGGACGCCCTGCGGTCGGAGGCCGGCGGCGGGCTGGCCCCCTTCTTCGCCACCCGGAGATGGGCTGAACGCGGGACGGCGACGACGAGGAGGAGGGGGAGGAGGAGGTGGTTGACGACAATGATGATGAAGAGGTTGACGACAATGATGATGCTGCTGATGATGATGCTGATGATGAGGATTATGATGATTACGATGATTATGATTATGATAATGACCATGAATGTGATGATTGTGCTGAGGATGAAAATGCGGGTGGTGGTGGTATGAATGATGATGATTCAGTTGATGATGATGATGATGATGATGATGATGATGATCCTGATGATGATGCTGATGCTGATGCTGATGATGACGATGCTGGCGACGATGATGATGACCATGACGTTGACCATGATGATGCTGATGACGAAAACATGACGATGATGGTGGTGGTGAGAATGTTAATGACGATGCTGATTAGGCTGATGATGATGGTGATAATACGAGCATGATGATGACGATGACGATGATGATGGTGATGATGATGATGATGGTGGTGAATATGATGATGACGATGCTGCTGATAATGGTGGTGGTGATGATGACGACGATGATGATGGTGATGACGGCGACCACAATCATGCTGATCATGATGCTGATGCTGCGTGTGTTGCTGCTGATGATGCTGATGATGCTGGTGCTGCTGATGATGATGCTGATGACGACGATGATAACGATGATGATGATGATGCTGATGATGATGATGATGATGATGATGCTGATGCTGATGATGATGATGATGATGATGATGATGATGGTGATGGTGATGATGATGATGATGATGATGATGATGATGATAATGATGATGATGATGATGATGATGATGATGATGATGATGATGATGATGATGATGATGATGATGATGGCGGGCTGGTACCTTTCGCCGCGCGAGGATTGGTTCCGCGTCGTGGGGATGGCCGTTCGCCCGAGTTGCTCCAGGCTTCCCAGGTGGGGTACGAGGTTCAAGGTTCTGGGTTCGAAGAGTGCTTGTTAAATTTTTGGGCCTCAAGAGGCCGTTTTCGGGCCCCGGGTCCGTCAGAAACGCATCTGAGGTGACAAATTGCGCCAGGTGGACCCCGGGAGGTGTCTGGGAACCGATGTTGGACGGATCTGCTTTTCTTTCTCAGGCCAGGATCGCGCCGCATCGCCGATGCATCGGCGACGCATCGGCGTCACCCCAACATATTTATTCGATATGTGCGTCGCCCCCCCAGGGGCGACGCGCGCACCGAGAAATCTTAAAGTAGATGTGTCGCGGCGGGCGCTTTCTGGCCACACCGCTCGGGAACGGGTATGCTACAAGATGGGTCTACTACATGTTCGGGTCGGACGCGCGCCTTCAAGGATGCCATATAGTACTCGTATGTCTCTGTGCGTCCCAACGCAGCTCGATGTGAACTCTGTTTTTTCGACGCCGACGTCGCCGATGCATCACGACGCCGCCAGTGCATCGGCGATGCGTCGGCGATGCGGCGCGGTCCTCCGACACCGTCTGCTCGGACCCCGTCATGGAGGCCTCGCAGCACGCAGGCCGCTGCCGCCGCCATCGCACGCAGCGAATGGGGAGGCCGCGCACCGGAGGTCACTCTTCCCCATAGGGTCATCGGCTCCTGCCCTGATGCGTCGATTCAGGGATCGGCTGTTTTAGGTTCGCGAGGGCGCGTCGCGGCCGTCAGTTTTTGCGGGTCCAGGTCCGTCGGCTTCGGTCCCAGGCCGTTTTTGTTTGAGGGTAGGTTTGCTAAAGGGAGGTCTGTCCACCGCCGAGGTCAGTCCTGCGTGTGGCCATGAGGATCGGCTCGAGGATCGCGTGTCGAGCATCCACGCTCGAGGCTCGAGCCTCGGGGACTGGGGGAGCGAGGACCGAGGGTCGGGGGGTCCAGGAGCGGGGGCATCGAGGGCCGAGGATCGAGCAGCGCGGGTCGAGGAGGATCGCCCGCCTCGTCGATCGAGACTCGCCTCCTCCTCCTCCTCCTCCTCCTCCCTCCTCCTCCTCCTCCTCCTCCTCCCCTCCTCCTCTCCTCCTCCTCCTCCTCCTCCCTCCCCCCTCCTCCTCCCCCTCCTCCTCCCCCTCCTCCTCCCCCCCTCCTCCTCCCCCCTCCTCCTCCTCCTCCTCCTCCTCCTCCTCCTCCTCCCCCTCTCCTCCTCCTCCTCCTCCTCCTCCTCCTCCTCCTCCTCCCCCTCCTCCTCCTCCTCCTCCTCCTCCTCCTCCTCCTCCTCCTCCTCCTCCTCCTCCTCCTCCTCCCCCTCCTCCTCCTCCTCCTCCCCGTGATCCCCGCAGAGGCTCGAAGTTCTGAGGGTTGAAGAGGGTCGTCGGTCGAGTTTGTAGGGTCGAGGCTTTGGGGTTGCACGTCCGAGTTGCCGCTGCCCTGAGATCCGATGACGACGCCCTGGCATCCTAAGATTTCCGACGGGGCCGCGGACTTGAACATCGTATCGGAGTGTGTCCGGGAATGGAGTCGAAGTTCACGAAGTCCGGAGGATCGCGCCGCATCGCCAATGCATCGGCGATGCGGCTCGATTTGAAAGTCCGATGTTCTCCACTCTGGCGGCGCAGACGCATCACCGACGTCGCTCACGCCGCCGATGCATCGGCAATCCTCCGACCCGATCTGCTCGGACCCAATTTGGGAAGTCCCCACATTGGTTCCACGACCGCTGAGGGGCAACGTCAGGGGTGAATGGGCCCAGCGGGGGGACACGCATCGACTCAAAAAGTCACCCATTCATCACCAATGGGGGCCTGATAGCCACCCCGCCAAGGGTCGTGCGGTCTCGCAATCTGGCATGCGCTATACCTACACTCTTCACGTCGTACTCTGTCTTTTTTCTCTGTCCATATATACACACATACATACACATCAGATGTATAGACGTTCCGCTTTGTATTCAAAGCTACCTGGGACATGGCATCTACTTCAAATTATTGACGCTTCGCGTATCCCTTATCATCCCATCCAGACACGACCGCATACTTTCTGAGGGTCTCTTGGAGGCTATCGTGAGCCATGTTCGGCTAGAGGCTGTCGGAGGCTATCCTGAGCCATGCTCAGCTATCTCGGACCGTCTTGTGGCTGTCTTGAGGCCTCTTGGAGGTTTGTAGGAGGCTATCTTGAGCCATGCCCGTCCTCCTAGGACCATCTTAGGGGTAGGCTGAGGAGGAGGAGGAGGACGACGAGGAGGAGGAAAAAAGAGACAAGGATGAGGAGGGGGAGGAGAAGGAGGACGAGGAGGAGGAGGAAGAGGAGGAGGGGGGGAGAAGGAGGAGGGGGAAGAGGTGGAGGAGGAGGAGGAGGAGGAGGAGGAGGACTGCGAGAGAGGATGAGGAAGGGGAGGAGGAGGAGGAGGAGGAGGAGGAGGAGGAGGAGGAGGCGGAGGAGGAGGAGGAGTAGGAGGAGGAGGCAGGACAAGAAGAGGAAAGACACGGACGACAAGGAGGATGAGAAGTCGGGTTTTGGAGGTCTGTTGTTGTGAGAGGTTTTTGAATGTTGGCGAACGCCATCTTAGTGGCTCTCTTGGGCCCCTCGTGGGGCCTCTTGGTGCAGTCTTGGGGCTCTCTTTGGGCTCCTTTTGGGGATCTTGGGGCCCTCCTGGGGCTCCTTGGAGGGAGGCCTCTTGGGGCCATCTTGGCCCCATGAGTCAAAATGAGGGGGGGGCACTATATTCAGGCCCCCCCCCCCTCGGAGGCTCAAAATTGACGTCTTGGGGCCCTCTTGGGGCGCTATTCGGGCGCTCTTGGGCGCTCTTGGGGCCTTCGGCCCACTTGGGTCCCTCTTGGGGCTCTCTTGGGCCGTCTTGGGGCGATTTTGCGCCTCAAGAGCCCATCGGAAGCAACAAGACGAGAAGGCAACCAATATTGATGTCCTATCGGGTTTGAAATCATTTTCACCTCTCGGGGGGGTCCTGGGAGGGCTCGGAGGACACTTGAAACCGTCTTGGGGCCGTCTTGAGACCTCTTGGATGTTTGTCGAAGGCTATCTTGAACCATCTTGAACCATCTTGAGCCATCTTGGAGGCCATATTGAGCTTTATGAGGCCCTCTTGGAGTCATCTCGGGCGAACTTGGGGGATCCGACGCCTCGCGCACCCCCCCCTCCTCAGGCCCAGGGGAGGGGGAGGGGGAGAGGTCGAGGCCCCCCCCCCAAGACAGCAAGCCGTCTCGCTCACTCCCACCCGCTCTCCCAACACATACGCACTTGCGCAGGTCTCCTCTGTAGGTCGAAGAGGGCCACCCCCGTCCCCCGTAGAATCTTAACACGGGGGGGGCCTGCGGCCGACGGATTCCATTCTTGTCGGCTCCCGGAACGAATGTAACATTATAAATCCAGAACGGGGTAGACATGGGATCCGCCGTCAAAAATAGGGTCCGACGCGGATCCCGAAAGTCAGAAATGGGATCAGCGCGCACGGAAATGGGATCCGCCGCGATTTCACGATTACGGTAAGGTTGGAAATCGGATCCGTGCGACCCTCATTGGGTTCGCCGCTATGATTTCCCAGAGGGCCCGTGCACCGCGTGGGACCGTGAGTTTCAGCGCCAAGAGGAAAGCATTTTCGGCCTGGGGTTGTAGTGTACGAGTTTTAGCGCATCGCCGAGGAGCGCCACGCATGCCATGTGCGCCACGGGTTTAGGTGCACCAGGCACCCTGGAGGCCCAAGCGTGCGAGGCGCGGCAAGTGCGGCACGTCCTCCACGAGTTCCAAGTGCGCCGCGTGCTCCATCCGCGCCAGGTGCGCCACGTGCTCGGCGCGCGCAGTGCGTGCGACATGCGCCATTGCACAGCCGTCACCGGGTGGATTCTGTATTGTTTTTCCCAACCCTCCTTGGTTGGGTATTCGTTTTGAATAGAGCAGTGTGGTCGCGTCCTTCCTCCTCCCGCCTCCCGCCTCTTTCCTGCCTCTTTCTGTCTTGCCTGCGGGGGGCTGTGAAACTGTCGCCAGTTTCGAGGCCTGCTGGGGGGTCCAGCATAGAGGGTAATCGCGGCAGATCCAAATTAGACCTCGCCATTCCTGGGGGGCTGCGATCTGTGAAACTGTCGCCACTTTCGAGGCCTGCTGGGGGGCTCAGCATAGAGGGTAATCGCGGCAGATTCAAATTAGACCTCGCCATCCCTGGGGGGGGGGGCTGCGATCTGTGAAACTGTCGCCACTTTCGAGGCCTGCTGGGGGGTCCAGCATAGAGGGTAATCGCGGCAGATCCAAATTAGACCTCGCCCTCCCTGGGGGGCTGCGATCTGTGAAACTGTCGCCACTTTCGAGGCCTGCTGGGGGGCCCAGCACAGTGAGGGCCACGCGCGGATTCAAATTAGACCTCGCCATCCCTGGGGGGCTGCGATCTGCGAAACTGCCGCCATTTTCGAGGCCTGCTGGGGGGCCCAGCACAGTGAGGGCCACGGGCAGATTCAAATGAGACCTCGCCGTCCCTGCGGGGCTGCGATCTGTGAACCTGTCGCCACTTTCGAGGCCTGCTGTGATCCCCGTTTTCGAAGTGGCTAGGAGTGCTCAGGAATTGTAAATCATCAGCTTTATCAAGCCCTTTTCCTGTAGCCAGTGTCCTGCGAGTCTCCCGAATTCCGTCTGCAGACATATGTAACCCTCGCTCCGTCATCGCCCCCTTATAAAGTATCCTAAACTATTTGCGCCCCGCTTTTGCGCAGGGGTTGGGTACGTCGCCAGGGTAATTTGACAGGGATGGTTGGCCTCCGCGCATCGAGCACTTTGCCGGCACCCCCGCCATCCCTGTCAAAACTAATGCAGAGTGGTCGCGAGGCGCCAGCCGAGTGGTTGCGGGGCGCCCGCGCATGCTCTGGATTTGGAGGCAGAGTGGATTCTGTTTTTTGGCAGGATGAGTGGGAGTAGGGGGAGGGGGAGGGGGACAAGCTAGGTGCGCTCGCGTCTCACATGACATTCGATCCATCCCTCCCATCGCTTCCCATGGCGATGATTTTGATCTATCCGCGGACGCGTGTCATGGCCGACCTGCGACTCACACAGAAAGACTACTTGTTATGCACAATCGGAAAAGGGGGAGCTGCGTGCACAGGAGGAGGAGGAGGAGAAGGAGGAGGAGGAGGAGGTGGCGGGCGAGCAGGAGGGTGAGAAGGGAAGAAGAAGGATGAGAACGAGCAGCAGCTGCAGGAACTAAAGCGGAAGGATCGGGAGTAAAGGAGGAACAGGGGAAGGCGGAGGAGGGGAAATGAGGGGGCGACAACGATGTATAAAGATTCGGATTCATAAAAGTGGCCCACGCTTGGACAAGACGAACAGCAGCAGCAGGGACTGGAGTGGAAGGAGCGGGAGGACGAGGAGGACCAGGAGGAGGAGGAGGAGGAGGACGAGGAGGAGGAGGAAGGATGAGGGCGAGCAGAAGGGCCAGAGGCCTCTTGGATGCCGGTCAGAGTCTCTTCGGATTTTGCTCGAGAGTTTCTTGGAGTCTTTTTGGGGCGTCTTGGGGCATCTTCGCAATTCTGGGGCCTCTTGGAGCGTTTTGGATGCTTCTGGGGGGGCATCTTGGGGCCTTTCAGGGGTCTTTCGTGCGACTCTTGGGGGCATCATGGGCGCTTCTTGGGGGCCTCTTGGGGCCTCCTGGGCACGTCTTGGGGGCCTCTCGGGGCACCCTTGGGAACCTCGGAGGCCATCTGGGAGCAATCTTGGAGGAGATCGATCAAAGGGTTGGGTGGGGGGCTCCTAAAACAGGGTCCCCTGCCCAGGAGGCCAACATGTGGCCAACACCGTAGTACAATTAATGATTTGGAATTTCTCGCCGAGGCCTCTTGGGGCGTCTTGGGTGCCTCTGGGGGGTTCTTGGCGTTGTCTTGGGGGCCTCTTGTGAGCCTCTTGGGGGCATCTTGAGGCCTCTTGGGACCTCCTGGGCTCTTGGGGCACCCTTGGGAGCCTTGGAGGCCATCTTGGGGTCATCTTGGAGGAGATCGATCAAGAGGGGGGGCGCCTCAATTAGAGTCCCCCGTTCAGAAGGCCAATATGTGGCCAAAACCGTAGTATCATCTATGATTTTGGCTTCCTCGCCAAGGCCATCTTGGACGCTCCAACGTCTCGCGAAACTCCTCCAAACGGAGGGGGGAGATGGAGGGGTCAAGAGACCCTCCTGGTCCGGACCCCTTGCCCCGGACTTGTTTCTTATCCCGGGTAGTGGTTTGACGGCCCCGGGGCTCGGCATCGGCTAGTAGATGACAATATCTATCCGCCTTTATTTTGTCGACGAGAGGAAGGATGTCAGGGTCTTCTCCCCGGGCCTCTCCCTGGGTGCGTTCTGACCAGAATTTGGAAGCGAGCCTTCGAGGAGGCCCCAAAAGGCGAACACGTGGAAAGGGTATTACCTTTTCCTCCCCTCCCTCCCTCCCTCTTCCTCCCATCCCGCCCCGCCCCGCCGACAGAACGCCCGCGACAGGCCCCCGACGGGTCGCAGGTCGTGGAGTGGCGCAGGGGCGTGCTGCGCGAGGCCGCCAGCTGGGCGCGCCTCCCCCCCCGTCCTATGTCCTCCTCCGTCCCTTTTCCTTTCAGGAACTCCTCCCCGTCGCACCCCGAGACGCGTCCGCGAGGAGGGCCGGGCGTTTCGCCTGGGGCTTCCTCACCATGTAGGGTCTTTACAGCTGACTACTTGCAAGAGCTTCACGGACGGAGGGCGGGTGGTTCTCACAACGGGGCTCTTGCCTCAGAGTCGCCCACATTAGTTTTCACAATTTGCGAGGGTCTCACGGATGATGGCGGGTGGTTTTCAAAACGAAGTTCTCGTCTTAGCGCCGCGTGCATTCGTTTTCAAAGCTTGCAAGAGATTTACAGATGGAGGGCGGATGGTGTTCAAAAAGGGTTTCTCGCTTAAGCGCCGCTCACATTCGTTGTCAAAGCTTGCAAGAGTTCTTGGATGTAGGGGAGGTGGTTTTCAAAAAGGGGCTCTCGCTTTAATGCCCCCCGCATTTGGTTCGCAAGGGCTTCGTGGATGCAGGGCGGGGGAGGGTTCAAAATGTGGTTCCCGTCTTAGCGCCCTGTTCAAAATTCGGTTCTCGCGTTAGCTCCGCGCGCATTCGTCGTCAGCGCTTGCACCAGTTTCAAGGGTATGGTTGACGTCCCAGATGCGTTTTTTTTTATTGGCACGGTGTAGGACTGTCAGGGCGCAGCAGTTACGTAAATCCGCTAACGCACAGTTTCCAGGAATGGTGTTCTGCCACGGTTCAGGATTCGGGCACCCCCACCCTTATCGGCTCTTGGTCTCTGGGAGGAGCACTGGCACCGTTCATCTCGCTGGAGAGGCTGCCCGTGCCGTCAGAATGAACGAGGGCCACAGGGCCCGCATGCCTCGCAGTTCCCCAAACAGTGCTTGCACTTAAGGTTCTTACTTCTGGCACTTCGCGCTTGGATGGGTGTGTCGGCGTGTTGGCTGGTGCCCAGTTGGTGCCGCCTCGTTGCCGCCTCGTGCGCTGGGTGGGCGCGTGGGGGTGCCAGGTGATGCTCGGCTGGTGCCGCCTCTTCGCCACATCTCTCGCCACATAGTTTGTACCACGCAGCCGACACGTCCACAGTGCAGCCAGTTACTGTGTGGGGTCCACGTTGGCAAACATGATAGAGAAGCCTACCTTGATTCGCATGCGTATGTTGCTGAGCACGCTTCAGGCTCTGCAGACGGAATGAGCTCAGCCTCACCAGGAGCCCAACAGGGCCAGTGTCAGGCACCCTGGACCGAGGCCGCCTGCTCCGAAGGCTTGCCTGCTTTTGTCCACTCAGCATCGCCTCTCGGAAAAAAGGCAACTCGCGCGTGCAACACTACAATGAGTCGACCTCCCAGGCACATCGCCAGTGCTGTATGGAGTCATCCTGCTTTAATGTGCGTCGTGTCGATGGTAAAAAGGTTGGGCTTCCTCCTGGGCTTCAGGTGCAAATCTGGTGGGGGGTGGGCTCATGCGAGTCATAACCTACAGTCTCATGCTGGGTTGGGGGGTTGGTTTTGCTGTCCTTGCGGAGGTTTTGCAGCCTAGCAGCTGGCTAAACTTGGGAACAAGTGTCTGTGTCAGCCAAGTGTAGTCGTGCAGATTATCTCCTTAGAATATCGCGAGGTGTCTGGCCTAAAGCTTACAGCAAAGCTGAGAAGGCCAGACAGCAGAGGTTTCAAGTTTGCATTGTAACAGGCACAGTCGCACTACCCGTAGTTTCGTCACTCCTCCTCCTCCTCCTCGTGCTCCTCCTTTCTCTTCGATCTCATTATGTTATCTCTCCTCCTCATCATCCTCCTCGCGCTCCCCCCACAGGAATATGGAGGAGGAAAGAAGGCTGGAGGGCCCATCGGATTCCGAGATTTTCGGACACGTTTCGCTCTCTTTGGGCCTCGCCGCCACGGCTGGATCGAATTGATATCCTTGTCGGGAACCGCACCTGGATGGGTCCGGGGTCGTCGTGGGTGGTCCGACCCTGCCTTCTACCTCGCCGTCCTGCCTGGGGGCCCGCTGAGAGGCTGCGAATGCGAAAATGTGGACACTTTCGAGGGCGGCTGGGGGGGTCAAGCGGAGCGACGCTTTACGCAGCATAAGCTACACCTTGCCATCCCTAGGGGGCTGCGAACGCGAATATGCTGCCACTTTCGAGGGCTGCTGGGGGGTCCAGCGGAGGGACGCCTCACGCAGATCTAGATTAGACCTCGCCATCCCCAGGGGCTGCGAACAGCGAAATCGTTGCCACTCGAGAGCTGCTGCTGGGCCACTCTGTGAGACGTCTTACGCATACCTAAACTAAGCCTCGCCCTGGGGGCATCGAAGTGCGACACTCGCCACCTTCAAGGGCTGCTGGGGGATCCAGCGGAGTGACGCCTCACGCAGACCTAAACTAAACCTTGCCATCTCATGGGGCGCCGCGAACTGCAAAGGTGTCGCAGATTTTGAGGAGTGCTGGGGGGTCAGCGGAGCAACGCCTTACCCAGACCTAAACTAAACCTCGACATTTTGGGGCGACTGCGAATTGCAAAACAGTCGACACGTGCGAGGCCTGCTGGGGGGTCCAGCGGAATGACGCCTCACGCAGATCTACGCTAGACCTCGCCATCCCTGTGGGGCTGCGAACAGCGAAATGGTCGCCACGTTTGATGGCTGTTGGGGGGCAGCAGAGTGACGCCTTACGCAAACCTAGAGTCGACCTCGCCATCCATGAGCGGCTGCGAACTGCGAATCTCTGATATCGGGCATATCCTTTGGCAGTTGGGTTTAGATCGGGGATGTGCCGTAAAAGAACATATTGGTTGCATGGGATCGTGAGGGTTGAAGAATCTGAAGACTTGAGAAGGCGATGGTAACAGCAGCCGGTATGCACCGCATCGTATTTTCCCCAACCCTCCCATGTTGGGCTCTCGTTTTGGCTAGAGCACTGCGGTATCCACTCCTTCTCCTTCTCCTCCCTCCTCCTCCTGCCTCCTCCTGCACTGCTCCACGGGTGGCTGCGAACTGCGCAATTGTCGCCGCTTTCGTGGGCTCCTGGGAGGTCCAATGGAGTAGCGGAGTACACGCATTCAGCCGAGATTTCGAAGCTCCCTGAGTGGCTGCAGACTGACAACTGTCGCCACTTTCGTGGGCTCCTGGGAGGCACGGTGGAGTAGGTAAGCACGCACACACAGCCGAGACCTCGTAGCTCCCTGAGGGACTGCGCCTTGCGCAACTGTCGCCACGTTCGTGGGCTCCTGGGAGGCACGGCGGAGTAGGGGAGTACGCGCACCCAGCCGGGACCTCACAGCACCCTGTGTGATTGCGAATTGCGCAACCGTCGCCACTTCCGTTGGCTCCTGGTGGACACGGTGGAGTAGGGGAGTACGCGCACCCAGCCGGGACCTCGCAGCTCCCTGGGGAACTGCGAACTGCGCAACCGCCACGTTCGTGGGCTCCTGGGAAACACGGCGGAGACTAGGGCTTACACCTTAGGGCGTAGAGTTTAGGGTTTGGGGCTAATCCTTAGATCTTAGGGGCTTAGTGCTCAGGTTTTTAAGCTCGGGACTCGGGTCTCAGGGCGTATGGCTTACGGCTTCGGGCTGAAAGTTTCGAGCCTAGAGTTTGGGGCTTAGAGCTTAGGGCTTAGGGTTTAGAGCTTCGGTGTCAAGTGTTAGGGTTAGGGTTTTATGGGTTAGGGTTGGGGTGTTAGGCTTAGGGTGTTTGACTTGGTGTGCCACGATTCGAGTGCTAGGGTCAGGGTGTCAGGGCCAGGGTGTCACAGCCAGACCGAGGTAAATTATCGAGGTCGGCTAGGAGATGGTACCCAATTTTATTCGTGTTGATTGGATGCGTGTGTGCATTCTGGGGAGGGTGCCCTTGAATGTTCTGTTTGTTTTGGCCGACGGAGGGTCTCTCATGTTCTTGAGGGGTAATCTTCTGGCCTAGGTCCGACTGTAGGGTTAGGGTGTTAGGGCTCGGATTAGAGTATTAGGGTATTGGTGTTAGGGTCAGGGTGTTACGCTTAGGGTGGTAGGGTTTAGGTTAGGGCGGTAGGGTTCGGAGTAGGGTGTCAGGCCTAGGTACGGGTAGGGTGTTAGGTTTCAGATGTTAGGGTTCGGGTGGTAGGGTTCCGGCTATGGTTTTAGGGTTTGGGCTTTCGGCTCAGGGCGGTAGGGTTCGGGTTGGGATGTCAGGGTTAGGATGTTAGGATGCAGGTGATAGGGTGTTAGGGTGAGGTTGTTCGGGTGTGGGTGTGAGGCTTAGGGTGTGAGAGTTTGGGTGTTAGGGTTAGGGTGTGTCAGGGCGGTAGGTTTAAGGGGGAAGCATTCTGGAGCTAGGGGGGCGGCGTGGCCAAAGGGGGGGGAAGGGGGGGGGTCCAGTTTTCGAGTCCACAGAAGGGAGGGGGCGGGGGTTCAACCGCCCCCCCCATTTGAAAGGGGGGTGGTCCGGGACGACGGATCGGGGAGAGGGGGGGAGGTGGGGGTGAGGGTCCAGACCTCCCTCTCCCTTTGGGGCATCCAGCGGCGCACCCTTCTAAACCCGTCCCAGCCCCCCAGCACCAACGTCTCAAGCTTTTCCCAGCCTCCCGTCGCACGAAGCAGAGCGCCTCCCGTCCCACCGAAGCATAGCGGACGCTCCACCAGCTTGCAAGGCATACAGCGTGTCGCAGGGGCCGTCGCCGCGGGACGCCGAGGAACAGCTCCTCAGCCAAGGCGAGGGCTTCGCAAAGAGCCCAGAGCTTCCCCGCCCGCGCCCCCGACGGCGTCACCCGCGGGCATCGAACCTCTGGCAGGCGGCGTGCTCGGACTCACGACCTTGACGACGACGACGACGACGCCCACGACCTCGACGACGACCACGACGACGGCGATGACGACGACGGCGACTGCCACGACCTCGACGACGACCAGGACGACGACGACCACGACGACGACGATGACCAGGCCGACGACGACGACGACGGCCGCTCGTGTGGTCCGCTCCCAGAAAGGCTCACCGCCGAGTCGCGACACCCATTCGGCAAGCCTGGCTCACCCCTGGCGTGGTCGATGGCAGGGGTGCGATTTGGGGCTGCGGCTAGCACCTGGGTCAAGAGCGACTCTGGCTTTGGATGGGTATGCCCCTGCATTATCCGTGTTCGGGCTCCCCACCCTGAAATGATCTTCGTCTGGTTCTCTCCATGGGGCTCTGGGCCCTCGTCGAAGGGGTTCGTGCTCTTGACCCGAGTCCTCGTGGCCACTCTTCGACCGTGCGATGACCCTCGGCGCCTCCGCCCTGCGACCGCCGAGGCTGGCATGGCCGCCACCGCGCCGCTGAGCGCTCAGGCCCCGGGCACGACGCGGCGAGCTCTCGGATCGCTGCTGGCGGCGGCGGCGTCGGCGGCGGCCACGGCGGCGTCGGGAGGGCCACTTCCTCCGGAGGAGCCCTCGACCTCCGCCTTCCGCGCCTTCTGCGCGGCAGCTGCCGCGCAGCGGCCAGCAGAGCCGCCGCGGCCGCAGCAGCGGCCGCCGTCGAGGCAGCAGCGGCGGTCTGAGCGGCAGCCGCGGCGCACCCCGGCGGCGGCAACGCGGCAGGCTCGGAAGGTGGAGGTCGAGGGGAGGAGTGTCTCCAGGAAGGGAAGGGGGTCCTGAGGGAAACGGGTCCTGATGCGTGAAAGATCGTGTTCTACCGCTGCTGGCGGAAAACTGGGGGGGGGTCACTACCGGTTCGAACCCCTCCCCCCCCTTCCCCCCCCCTCCGGAAAACCGGGGGGGGTCACTACCGGTTCGAACCCCTCCCCCCCCCCCCAGCTCATCATGAAAAGGGGGGGGGGTCACTACCGGTTCGAACCCCCTCCCCCCCCCCCCTCGAAAACCGAGTGGGGGTGCGGACAGTGGTGGGGACGGTGTTGGTGGGGACAGTGGTGAGGGGACAGCGGGACAGTGGTGGGGACAGTGGGACAGTGGGACAGTGGTGGGGACGGTAGTGGTGGGGACAGTGGTGGGGACAATGATGGGAACAGGGGGGACAGTGGACAGTGGTGGGGACGGTGGTGGTGGGGACAGTGGTGTGGGGACAGTGGGAATGAGGTGGAAACAGTGGGACAGTGGAGGGTACAATGGTGGTGGGGACAGTGGTGAAGGCGGTGGCGAGGACGCCCGTGGGACAATGGGACAGAGGTACAGTGGGGACAGTGGTGGGGACAGTGGTGACTGGTAGGAACAGTGGGACAGCTCAGTGGGACAGCGGAGGAGTCAGTGCGACAGTGGGGACAGTGGGGATAGGCAGTGGTTGGGTCCGTGGAGACAGTGGGGAGAGTGGAACCGTGGTGGGAACAGTGGTGGGAACAGTGGGGACAGTGCGACAGTGGTGGGGGCAGTGGTGGGGACAGTAGGGAAGGTGGTGGAACCAGTGGGGACAGCGGTGGTGAGGACAGTGGTGCTGGGAACAACAGTGGGGGATGTGATGCGGACGGTGGTAGGGACCGGGAGTCGTTTGCTGGCGGTGCGTGTGGGGGGGGGGGGTCGAACCGGTAGTGACCCCCCGGTTTTCGAGGGGGGGGGGGGTCGAACCGGTAGTGACCCCCCCCGGTTTTCCGGAGGAGGGGGGGGAGTGACCAGGGGTTCGAACCGGTAGTGACCCCCCCCCGGTTTTCCAGATCCGGAGAAAGGGGGGGGGGGGGGGGAAAGGTTCGAACCGGTAGTGACCCCCCCGGTTTTTGAGGGGGAGGGGGGGGGAGGGGTCTCCTAGCCTACAGACCACCAGAAAAATAGAAATTAGACTCGCCGTTGTGGAATGTTTCACATGGTTTGCGCGTTTCTTAAAAAATAGACTCGGTATCGTTTTCGTGGTTATTTTTTTATAGAAATTCAGCTCCGGCCCCAACGTGGCTTGAATTATCATGTCTATGTCGTGTCTATCAGTGTCTATATGCATTGGTGTCTATTCGTGTCTAACGTGTCTAATTTGAACGTGTCTATTCGTGTCTATTTTCCATGATTTCGACGTGTTCGCGTCTATTATTTCCGTGCCTATTGTTCAAAGTGCGTGTCTATTTTTCCAAAGAGTACCGTTTGTTCAACAAGATGTGATGGCGCCCAATTTTCGAATTTCCGAAGACGGTCCAAGAGGGCCCCGAGTCGCCGAACGATCGGTCCAAGACGCCCAAGATGGCATCCAGACGGCCCAATGCGGCCTCCAAGACGCCCCAAGGCCTGCGGCAGCACTTCAAATCCAGTTATTTCACGTAAGTTTTGAAGGATTTGGGCGTTCTCGCTTCTTCGGCTTACGCTCCAAGACGGCCCATGAGGCCCCAAAGATCGCCCCAAGACGGCCCAAGAAGCCTTCAAGAGGGCCCCAAAACAGCCCAAGAGGGCCCCAAGACGGCTCCAAGAGGCGGCCCAAACAGGGCTTCCAGGAACCCCCAAGCGGCTTCCAAGAGGCCCCCTTCTCCTGCCTCTCATCCACGCCAGGACGGCGTCCTGTGCATTTCCCGCCCCCCCTTCTCCCTTTCGCGCGCCCCCCTTTCTCGCACGACATGTTTTAACCGATTTCTGTCAGAGGTCGTCGAAATGCCCAGACTCTCACTGCGCACTGTTCCAAACCTTGCTCGCGGCGGCGTACGCCTCCTTGGCAAGTTCGCTCGGGTCGAGGCCCTGCGCCTTTGTGAACGTCTTGGCGCGACCGTGCCACCGGCTGGCAAACGTATTGCGGTCCACTTTCGCGTCGGCGGCCGTCATATGGCATCTCTTCGGAACGCTCGTGGGGGCATATGGGGGGCAGTTTTTCGGGCCTCTTGGGAACGGGGCCTCTTGGGGCGTCTTGGGGGCCTTTTGGGGGCGCGTTGGAGCCTCTTGGGGGCCTCTCGGGGGCGAGGGCTCGAAATGTCCGTTCGGGTCCACCGTTTGGGCCACCTCTCAATCCTGAGCCCTCCTATTCCTCACCGTTCCTCCGCTCCCCTCCACGCCTTCCGCACCTCCTCCACAATCCTCCCACCACCACCCTCCTGGCTCCTCACATCCTTCCCCACGTATTCGCACTCCTCCCAATTCATCTGCGTTCCTCCGAGTCCTCGCTCATCCTCACTATCTCCGCTCTTCCGCGATCCCCCGCGCTCCGCCTCATTTTTCCGCTTTCTTCCCCGCTCGCTCTACCACCCCATGGTTCATCAACACCCCAGTGCACGCCGCGCGCCCCCTCCCATTCCTGTGCACGGCTCCTCCTCCTCATCCACACTCCCCTCATCTTCCGCGTTTTTTCCCCCAACGATTCCGCAGTCTCCGCGCTCCCCCTAGATCTCTCGTGTGATTCCAAAGCGTTTCAATGTGTGATTCTCCTCAGCTCCTCCCAATTCGCCCGCTTATCATGTTCATTGTTTCTGCACTCCTTTCAACTCCGCTGAATTCCAATCCCATCCTCCACGTTATTCCACATTCTCCCGTCCCGACTCCCCCCCCGTATGCCGTGTTTATTTTTGCCACACCGTGTCTATTTGTTTCGGGCTCCTTTTGCGCGTATATTCGTCGCGTGACCATTCGTTTCTAATCATGTCTATTCGTGTCTATGTATGAGCCGTGTCTATTATCGTGTATAGTTATGATGTTCGTGTCTATTTTTGATTCACTTTCGTGTCTATTTTCAATGAATTCGTGTCTCTTTCAGAGAAGTGTCTATTCGTGCCTATTTTCTTATACAAAACCATATGTTTTACATTGCGCGCAGCGCGAATTTATAGACACGACTAGAAATAGAAACTGTGCAACAGTATCACGGGAAACGAAAGCGAAAATAGACACCCCGTCTTGTAGGCTAGGGTTAGGGGAGGGGGGGGTTTTGCCGGGGGAGGGGGGGGGGTCCAGCAGGGGGGGGGGGGATTTTCGGAGGGGGGGGGGGCGACCCCCAGGCTCCGGAGGAAAAGGTTGGCAATTTTCCACAGTAAAGCGGCGGTGGATCACGCTCTTTCTGATGTGTGTTTCATTTGCTTGGGGTTTCCGGAGGCCCTCCAGAGGCCCGGGGATTGTCAAGAGACCACTCGGGACGAGAAGCTGGTCCCGGGGAGAAGATCCAGGGTTCAGGTCCCGTTTCCCTCACTCAGCTTGCATGCCGATATTGGTGTCCACGGTTCGGCCGGGTCGGCTGCTTCGCAGTTGGTTGCGTTTGGTCGCTCGGTTCGGTCGGCTGTTGTGTCGTTGCCGCGTCGCCGCGCCCTTCTGGTCTGCCTGCGGCTTGGCCTGGCGGTTCCGGACGGTCTCGCTTCCGTCAGCTCGGCTCGGCCGCCGGTGCTCGGTGGTGCTGTCGGCGTGGGTTGCCTTACTAAAGTCGGCTGCACGCAAGAGCTCAGGAGGGAAAAAACACAGACACAATTAATCATCGATTCCCCAGAAATTATGGGAGAATATGGGACGTGGGGGGGAAGACAAATACCCAGAAAATGTTAGGAAATTCTGGGAATCCAGTTATTTGTGTGTATTCCTTGGTGTGTCCCTGGGCCCCTTCAAGAGTGACCTCCCGCTGGGCTGGAGTGGCCTCCGGTGCGGGCGCACTGGGGCCCCCGGGTGGCTGAACGCGATGCGATGGCAGCGGCGTGCGCGCTCGGGCCGGGCCTCCCCGCGCCCCATCGGGAGCCGATCGCGCCCGAGGGCCGGCCAGGCCTCCCCGGGGCCACTTCTGCGTGCAGCCGATGGAGTACAGTCAAAAGCCCTAATAAGCGCCTGGCGCGACTCTGCTCAGGGTACCCTTGCGTCCTTGCTCTTCCTTGCTCTTGCGTCCTCGGGGTTTTCGTCGTCCGCCGCCCCAAAAATCCCAACTTCGGCTTCCAAGGGTCTTGCGTCCTTACCGCGCGTCCTTTTCAAGGGTTTGACTGTAGGCCTGGCACGAGCCGCCCGATGCGGCGGCCGTTCGAGAATCGGCGGAGCACGGGCGCGCGCCCGCAGCCTCGGGCGCCGAAGGCCGGCGTGAAGCGGAAGGGCGGCGGGGAGGGAGGAGGGGAGCGGGACGCAGAGCGACGGCTCCAAGGGGGGGGGGCGGGGCGCTCGGGTCGGCACCGCAGCGACAGCCCCGCGCCCGCACCTCGCCCGCGTGGCGCTCTCCTGCCCGCGCCCCTCCTCGGGCGCCCGCCTCCTCTGCCACGCGCGGCGAGGGCGCGCGAGGGGAGGCGACGGGCCTGCGCGGTGCGTGCACCGCGTGCGCTGGGTCGCGCAGCGGCAGCCGTGGCAGAACAATTTGGCCACGCGGGCACGCGGAGCACGGCGAAGTTTGACGCTTGCGGGCCCACTCCCGCCACGTAATCGCCTGAGAGGAGGTCAGGGGAGGATGTGCGCGGGGGCCGAGGCGAGGGCGCGATTGGGAGAGGTGCCGCCATCCATCCGATCTTACCTGGAAAGGATTGAGCTCCAGGATCGCGACGTGCAAAGAAGTCCCAGACGGAGCTTCTTTTTTGAAGGGGAGGTGCAGGTAGCAGGATCGATTCAGAAGAAAAGTGGGGGGGATGGGGAACGGAGGGGTTACGCAATCTACTGCGCTCAGCTAGTTTCGGCCCCGCCGCCAGGCGCTTCCCTTGATAGACTGGCACCTCCGGCGCCTGGAGCCGACGGGCAAATTGGCTGCATGCAGCTGATTCGTGAACCCCCCTACATCCCAAACCCAGGAGGTGGAGGCGGAGCAGGATCATTAGGAGGAGGCAATGGGAGACGAAGGACCAGGAGGAGGAGGAGGAGGAGGAAGAGGGGAGGAGGAGAAGGCAAGGAGAGAGGAAGGAGGAAGGCCTGTGGCTTCGTGTCCGCGTGCCCCCACCTTCCCCTCCTACCCCTCCCCCGGCGTGGCCGCGAGGCCCTGGCGCCGATCTCTGGGTGCCGAACTCCTTGGGGGCCCTCGCGCGCATCCCCTCATATTGTATCTTCGTTGGGTAAAGGATTCGACGGACCTTGTCTGCATGTCTGGCTTCTGGGTCCCTCGCTGGGCCCTGGGACTATTAATGAACGACTCAGCATCAGAAGTCTGTCCCAGGGAGGGGTCGAGACACCCGTGGGTCTGCGCTGTGAGGCAATCACGACGTTGGATATCTGCCTCGGCAGGCGGTGGATTTAGGTAGATCATCCATGGTCCGGGGTCCCCCCTCCATGGGTATGGCGCCCCGCCCCCTGATGGGTCCACCCCACTTGTGGCTTGGTGGGGGTAGACGTGTGTGCTCGCACGCATGTGCGTGCCTGAGTGCGGTGCCCCCCCTCCTTCGCGGTGTGGCGCAACCTGTTTCGGGGAGCGGGGGACCTGCAACCCTGCAGCGCAGGGGGCCTTGGCCTCCAGGAGTGGTCCAGAGGTGCTCGTCGTCCTGGTCCCCGATGACAGCGAAGACCACCACCACCTCCGGAGTCGTCGTCGTCGTCCTCGGCGTCGTCGTCGTGGTTGTCGTCGCCGCCGCCGCCGCCGTCGCCGTTGTCGTCGTCGTCGTCTTGGTCGTCATCTTGGTCGTCGTCGTCGTCGTCGTCGTCGTCTTGGTCGTCGTCGTCGGCGTCATCGTCGTCGTCGTCGTCGTCGGTGTCGTCGTCTTCGTCTTGGTCATCGTCGCCGCCGCCGCCGTTCTCGTCGTCGTCGTCGCCGCGGTCGCCGTCTCCGTCGTCGTCGTCGTCGTCGCCGTCGCCGTCGCCGTCGTCGTCGTCGTCTGGTGTGGAGGGGGGCGTGGGCACCCGACCCCCCCAGAGAGTTAACACACTCGGGCCCTTGGGGGCGTCGAGCAGATGTCCGGCTCCCCCGCCCGCCGAGGCCCCCGACGACTGATCCCCCGGGCGGTGCCCAGCGGACAAGCCCCGCGCCTCGCACCATTCAGGAGGAGAAAAAACACACGGGCACAGTTCATCGTCGACTCCCAGAGAATATGGGGAGGTATGGGCAGTGGGGGGAAGACAGAAACCCAGAACATATGGGAACATATGATATGGGGAACCTTTTGATTTGTGTGCATTTATTTTTGTGTTCCTGTGCCCCTTCAACCATGGACCCCCTTCGATGGCAGTCGAAGAGATCAAGCGATCACAAGCCTACGATTTTCGGAGGGGTTCGGAAGGATCTCTTGGGCCGGTGCTGGACGTCCCTCCCTGGAGCCAACGATCACGACGATCGCTGCCGTCGTTGTTACGCATCGTTGCTGTCGTTGTGACCGTTGTTGTTGCTATCGCTTCAGTTTGAAAAACAAGTTGTCGTACCATCTAGGTTGCCGCGTATTCTGCGGGTGCTCGCCACACAGTCGTATCCTGTATCTTTCCAGCCCTTTCCCCCCAAGCGAAGATTGTTTCTCATCGCTGCCATCGTCGTGATGCTCCCCGCCCTCGGTTGCTACCTCTGTGAGCTGGGCATGCCGCCGAGGCCGTGGCCCAGGCGCCCGTGCGGCCTCGCTCGGGCTCGAAGCCGGAGCCGCCGGAGGCGGAGGACGCGACCGTGACTTGGCAGGCGGGAGCCGCCACACCTCGGCCACGCGCACAAGGGGGGCCTGGCATCGTTCGGACGTGTGTACTTTTACCTCGGCGAGGACCTTTGAGGAGCATCCTTGATCATTTGGCGAAAGAGCCACGCACGACACCGAGAAACGCACAGGGAATGGACGCCCGAGCGATGGCCAGGGGGGGTGTATGGGGGAGGGGGGAGGGCCTCTTAGAAGGAGGCTGCTTCTTAGAAGGCGCGGGCCTTGCCTTTCTTGGAAGGCGCGGGCCCTGCCCATCACGCAGGAGGCGCCTTCTAAGAAGCGGCCTCCTTCTAAGAGGCAGCCCCCCCTCCCGCGTATACCCCCTTGAGCGTGCCGCCAACCATCGGCGCGACCGGCGCCCGAGGACAATCGCTCTGCAGACGTCCGTCGGGGGGCCCCGAAACAGGTTCGAAGTTCGGGGTTCGAATTTCGAGGTTCGAAGCTTCCGGTTTTCGGGCGTTTTCGTATCACCGAGCGCGTTCCACTATTCGCAAAGTGCCTACTCGCAAACGTCCGCAAAAGAGCATGTCTTCCTCCATGTCATAGATCGTGCATGTCCCGCGGCGGATCCAGGCCATTTGCGAGTAGTAAATTTGCGAGTAGTGGAACGTGCTTGTAGGTTTTCTGAACCCTTCTGGCCGTGGGGTGCCTTCCAGCAGCTCCGCTCCGCCGAGGGTGTTCCCGGGGGTGCTTCCTGGATCGTCCGAACGGCCCCCCGCCGCCCGCCCATCGTGTGTTCTCAAGGTGTGGGGTCCAGGTCCCAGATTCCATGGTGTTCGGAAGCCCCACAGAGTCGGAGGTCGGGGTCACCCTGTCCTGGGGTCCGCGGATTGAAACAGCCACACTCGAAAAAATGAGCACGCCATAAACATCCGCTGTTGCCGGTGGAGGAGGAGGAGAAGGAGGAGGAGGAGGAGGAGGACGAGAAATAGGAGGAGGGGGATGAGGGGGAGCAGGAGAAGAAGGAGGGGGAGGTATGTTGCCGGTCCGTGCGGATTTCTTTGATCCGCGCTGGGCCCGCCCGGCGCTCTGAGCGCCAGGGAGGGGGATTCAGCGCAGATCCCAGAAATCTGCGCGGACCGGCACAGGTTCATGCTTATGGCGTGTTTTCCTGTTCTACACATGCTTGGGCCCTCGGGGCCGCGGTCCTTTGGCTCTATGTGTCTGGCGGCGGGAATGCGCTGGCCGCGACGGTTTTAGTGATGGCGGCGGCGGCTGGAGGGCTCTTGGCGGTCTTGGCTTCGCGGCAAGCGCATGAGCGCGACGCATCTCGAACGGCGGGGGCTCTGGGCTCTGCACCTGCACCGTTCCTGGCCAGGCCAGCACCGGGGCCTGGGATGGGTGTATACATGATTAACCATGTATTTTTACACGGCCGGGGACCCCCCCCACCGAGCGAATTTCGACCACCCCGAGCGCCCGATACAGCTCCAGAGCCCCAGAGAGCCCCACGACGGCCCAAGATGGCCTCAAGACGCCCCACGAGAGCCCCGAGACGGCCCAAGACGGCCCCAAGAGGCTCCAAAGAAAACCCCAAGACAGCCCCAAGAAACCCCCAGCAGAGCCCCACGACGGCCGGAGCACCCCGAGACAGCCCACAAGGGCCCCAAAACGATCCAAAAGGGCCCCGCGACGGTCCAGAAGGGCCCCGCGACGGTCCAGAAGGGCCTCTAAGAAAACCCGGAAGCGCCCAAAGACAGGGACTCGCCTCCCACTCCGTGCGTGCTTCCCCCTCCTGTGTTCACAACTGCTCGCACCGCCTGCACCCCGGGCCCCGCCCTCTCCGGCCGCCTGAGGCACCGCCCACCTGTGCCCTGTCTCCCCAAATTAGAGCTGTGCGTAGCCCGCCTAAATTTTATCGGAAGAGGTTCGCTCTCGCCCCGAAGACAAAAAAAAAATTGTGTTCACGACCGCTCCAGAAGCTGGGACCCCAAGGGGTCGGCGGATTCAGACCTATTCGCTGGGTCCCTACACGTGCGATAGGTTCAACTCTTCACACGACACGGGGCTGTGTCTGAATTTCCTGTCACACTCATAGCGTTGCATCCACATCTCTCACAAACCCACGTGCGCATGATGTTTGATCTGGTTATCCCACAAGTGGTGTTGTCGGAATACTCCATCAGAAGATGATATGTCGACCTGCACTTGCAATTGGCCATGCTTGCGTGGTTGCCCTCGGACAATTCGACTTCTCGCACCTTACATCGCATACGTTGGAAGGCGAGGTTCAGGACTGCGCCCAGGGAAGCGCTGAAGGGTCGAACAAAGCTTCCTGTAAAATTAACAGGCACTCGAAGACCACCAGAAGCCCCCAAATGCTTTCGAAATTCCCGCAAAGCCCTCCAAGGAGGAGGCCGTGCAATACAATCTGAAAACGGTAACAAGGACGCGTTCGCAAACGTTGAGTCAGCATGAAGAGGAAACACGAGGGACAGGCGATCGATATCATGGATGTGCAGCAACGGTGGGGCGGACGGCAACAAGGAACCTTCGTCCTTTGGTGCCGTCTTTCTCTCTCTCTCTCTCTCCCTCGTCCTCTCTCTCTCTCTCTTGTTCTCTCTCTCTCTCTATCTCTTTTTCTCTCGTTCTCTCGTTCTCTCTCTCTCTCTCTATATATATCTTTTGTTTTCCCTTTCTATTTATCTTTCTATTTCTCTTGCTTTTGTTGTTGTTCTCTATCTCTCTCTTTCTCTCGCTCTCGCTCTCTCTCTCTCTCTGTCTCTCTCTCTCTCTCTCTCTCTCTCCCGCGCTCCGCCTGCCGCCCGTGCGCCGATCCTGAAGGGACGAGGTGCACGGCGCGAAGCGCAAACGCAGTCTTTTGTGCACATCTAGGGTATGTGAATATACATATATATATATATATGTGCATGTGTATATGTTTGAACACGTGTGTCTTGTAAATATACCAATGCGCCTTCCTCGCCTAGCCAAGAGGGGTCGCGCGCGAGTCCTGGGCCCAGGATGGGTCTGGCCAGGATCGGAACAGGGGTGTTCTTGGCGCCCTCCGATCGGGGCCCTGGCGAAACGGCTCCTGGAGGTTCGTCCCAGTTGTCGAGTTCTGCGGCCTCCCTCGGTCCCCAGAACCGTCCGGGACGATTCGGAGTGAAGTGCTGGCTTTCACAGAGAACCAGTGAAACAGCGTAGGGCCTGTCGTTACACACGAGGCCTTGTATCCAGCTTCGGATGTGTGAATTGCACGTATTTTCCCCTGTTGTTTGCCGCGCAAGCTTACTGCAGGCCAGGTCTCATATCTATGAAGACACGCGATGCCGTGAGTTTGGGCATGCCTGCCCGTGCCTCGACTGCTCCTAAAACTCTTGCTGTGCAGCTGCAGTCTGTTCGGAGATGTAAGGAGCGATCGTGGTTTGGTGTTCCTGCAATTGCTTCCCTGGGCCCCTGCATAGCAGTGCACCCCTTATTAGAGAAACGGGCAGCGTGTCCTTATCAGAAAGCCCTTGACATGCTGGCCGCAACGCCAGCAGGGCGGCGGCCGAGAACCTCGACAGGAAGTTATCGCACGAACGGCGGTCTGTTCTGTGCGGCTTTTGTGACACGTTTCCTATGTTATTACAAGCGATTGGCTGTACACCCCACCTCTCCCTACCTCCGGCGTCGTGGTGCTGTTCACGACGCGGGCCCGCGGCGTTCCCAACCCCCTTCCCGTAACCAGTTTCTCGTTGCCAGCCGTCGCTGCTGGCCCCAAAAAACCCGACAACTGCCCGCAAGAGGCCGAAATCGTGAGAGGATGGAAAAACGACAGTATCGTTTTTTCCGCGACGTTGTTTCCACCTCCATCTCTGCCCCAGGACCCATGGCGGCGCGCGCAGTGCGCGAGAGGGGCGGGGGGGTTCTAAGAAGGCGGAGCCTTCTCAGAATGCAGAGGGGCGCTCAGCACCCCCTCGATGGGCTCCGATGGGCGCGATCCTCCGACCCCGTCCATTCGGACCCCATTTTGGAGGCCGCTAGGCAACGAGCCACAGAGGCCGAAACTGGGGAAACTGCCAGGATCGTAGCTGCCCCGGTACGCAACACGCGATACGTAGCGTATGGATACGGAGCTCAACACGCAAACTGGAAACGTAGGTTTGGCGTGAGATGTTCGCCAAAACGTGGGCCCATACGCTGAACCAGCACGCAACGTATTGGCACGGACGTTTGAGCACGGTACGTGTTGCGTTTCAGAACGGGCGTATCAAGGCAGCTATGGCCAGAATTGTTGAACAGATCATCGCGTCCGAGATTTGGGGTGCCCCCCGCGCCCCTCGCGCCACCCCCCCCCGTGAGCGCGCCGCCGGCTGCCTGCCGATGGTCGCGCGACGCGGTTGTGCATCCTGGCGCGGCCGATGTCGATTTCATTTCTACTTCGTGCCGCTGCGGCCCGATCGCTCGGCCTCGGGGGGGGGGGGCGGATCCCAGCCCCGGGGCTGTCAGACAACGGGAGACCAAGGAGGGGAGGGATAGGGATAGGGAGAGGAGGGGAGAGGAGGGGAGAGGAGTGATGATGATGATGATGATGATGATGATGATGATGATGATGATGATGATGATGATGATGATGATGATGATGATGATGATGGTGATGGTGATCTTGATGCTGGTGGTGATGCTGATGGTGGTTATGATGATGACGATGCTCCTGATGCCGATGCTGCTGATGATGATGACGATGACGATGGTGATGATGATGATGACGACGATGCTGATGACGGTGACGGTGATGATGATAACGAAGATGATGACGATGATGACAATGATAATGACGATGATGATGCTGACGATAATGATGTTGATGATGATGATGGTGGTGGTGATGCTTCTTACGATTATGATGATGGTGATGGAGATGATTGTGGATATGATGACACTGATGGTACTCGTGATGATGCTGATGCTGATGATTATGGCGATGATGGGTACGATGCTGATGATGATGGTGATGTTGTTGATGATGATGCTGCTGATGTTGATGATGATGATGATGATGATGATGATGATGATGATGATGATGATGATGATGATGATGGTGGTGGTGGTGGTGGTGATGAGGATTATAATGATGATGGTGGTGGTGAGAAGGAGCAGGAGGAGGAGAGGAACAGGAGCGGACGGAGGAGGAGGAGGAGGAGAAGAAGGAGGAGTAGGAGTAGGAGCAGAAAGAGGAGGAGGCGGAGGAGGGGGAGGCGGAGGAGGAGGAGGAGGAGGAGGAGCGGAAGGAGGAGGAGGGGGAGAGGAGGGAGGAGAGGAGAGAGGAGCAGAGGAGACAGAGGACAGAGGAGACAGAGGAGGAGGAGGAGGAGGAGGAGGAGGAGGAGGATGAGGAGGAGGAGGAGGAGGAGGGAGGAAGGGAGGGAGGGAGGGAGGGAGGGGGAGGAGGAGGAGGAGAGGAGGAAGGAGGAGAAGGAGCAGGAGGAGGAGGAGGAGGAGGAGGAGGAGGAGGAGGAGGAGGAGGAGGAGGAGGTCAGTCAGGTCTGACCACCCTCGAACAGGCGAGGACAGTGCTAACGACGGTCAGGTATCAAACAGCGAGGCCAAGCTGCACAGTCAGCTGATGCACCAAGGACTGCCCGAGGGCTACGCTCGAGGAGGAGCAGGAGGAGGAGCAGGAGGAGTAGCAGGATATCGAAGTGCAGTATGCTGCACAAGTGTCCTGCCCCCCTGATCCTGCCCCCTCGTGCGAGACGTTAGCCCCTGTCGTGCCTGTGCGCCCCGTGGTAAGTTTTGCTGGCGCCCTGGGTCCTCGATCAGGAGAACCTGGAGGTCCCAGGAGGCCTCCAGAGGTCTGCAGGATCCCGACAAGGGCTGAAAGCTTCCCGCCTTGAGCCATGGCTGTCGAGGGCAAAGAGGGCGTTTCACATTAGACTCAATCAAGGTTACCTGCATGGCATTCCGTCCCCACTCTCCCCACCCCCTCCCCCTTCCTCCGCAGCCTTTTCGAACCGCTGTGGCCGAAAAGGCGCGCAAGTGTGTCCGACTTCAGTTCAGATTTTCTTGCGGCCCTCGCCACGACCTCCCCCTGCATGCAAGTACACGTGCCATAGTCTTAATAACGAAAAACGGCCCCGAAACATGGAACTCGCGCGCGCCACCGGCCCCTGCCAGTACCCGTGCACTCCTTGCATTACGTCTTCCTCCCCGATCCCTCCCCGATTCTCGATCCTTCTCCTCCTCGATCCTCATCTTCCCTCGCTTCCACTCCTCTTCCCTTCCCTCCCGTTGTCCTCCTTCTTTCCGATCCTCCCCGACCCTCGACCCTAATCTGCTCGATCTGTCTCGATCATCCTTCTCCTGCTCCTCCTTGCCGATCGCCTTCGATCCTTATCCTCATCCATCACCGTCGATCCTTCTTGATCATCGATCCTTCTCCTCATCGATCTTCCTCGATCCTCCTCTTCTCCCTCCTCTCCTCCTCCTCCTCCTCCTCCTCCTCCTCTTCCTCCTCCTCCTCCTCATTCTCCACATCTTCTTCCTCCTGCTCCTCCCCCTCCTCCTCCTCCTCCTCCTCTTCCTCATCCTCCTCTTCCTCCTCCTCCTCCTCCTCCTCTTCCTCCTCCTCCTCCTCCTCCCCCAAAGACATCCGACTGATTTCCTCACAACGCGGACCCCCATAGGTTTGGACCCCTTACCCGCGACCGGCGTCTCATCCCGAGCCTTGGGCCCTGGGCCCAGCGAGGGCTATTGGAGCTGAAATTAACAAAGGGCCGCCGCCATGTTTTTCATGACGCAAGGGGGTTGTCAGGGTCAGGGTCGGGGTCCTCCTCCTCCTCCCCCTCCTCCTCCGCCTCCTCCTCCTTCTCCTCCTCCTCCTTCTCCTCCTCCTACTCCACCTCCTCCCCCCGTCTTCCTCCTCCGCCTCCTCCTCCTGCGCCTCCTCCTCCTCCTTCCTCTCCTCCCCCCTGCTCTTCCTCCTCCTCCTCCTCTCCTCCTCCTCCTCCTCCCTCCTGCTCTTTCCTCCTCCTCCTCCTCCTCCTCCTCCTCCTCCTCCTCCTCCTCCTCCTCCTCCCTCCTCCGCTTCCTCTTCCTCCTCCTCTTCCTCCTTGTGCTCCTCTCCTACTCATCCCCTCCTCCTCCTCCTCCTCCTCCTCCTCCCCTCCTCCTCCTCCGCTCCTCCTCCTTCCTCCTCCTTCTCCTCTCCTCCTCCTCTCCTGCTCCTCTCTCCTCCCTCTCCTCCCCCTCCTCCTCCTCATCCTGCTCCTCGTCCTCCTCCTCCTCCTCCTCCTCCTCCTCATCGTCATCATCAGCATCAGCATCATCATCAGCATCAGCATCAGCATCAGCATCAGCATCATCATCATCATCATCATCATCATCATCATCATCATCATCATCATCATCATCAGCAGCATCATCATCATCATCATCATCATCATCATCATCATCATCATCATCATCATCATCATCATCATCATCATCATCATCATCATCATCATCATCATCATCCTCGAGGCCCCGGATCAGGATGGGAACCTCCCTGCTGGCCCGCCCTGCGCCGCAAGGCCAGGGTGCTGAGGCAAGCCGCCCTCGAGGCGCCGCGCACGGCGTCCGCCGCCCCCCAGCGGGGCGACGAGGGAGGAGGCGGACAGGCCTCGTGCGTGGAGTAGGCAGGGGGAGGACGAGGAGGAGCAGGATGATGATGCTGATGATGATGATGATGATGATGATGATGATGATGATGATGATGATGATGATGATGAGGACGATGATGAGGACGATGATGAGGACGATGATGCTGCTGCTGCTGATGATGATGATGCTGATGATGATGATGATGATGATGATGATGAGGAGGAGGAGGAGGAGGGAGGAGGAGGTGGAGGTGGAGGAGGATGAGCAGGAGGAGGAGTAGGAGAAGGAGGAGGCAGCAGCAGAACGACCCTGACCCTGAGGCCTCCTGCGTGTACGTAGGAGGAGGAGGAGGAGGAGGAGGAGGAGAAGAGGAGGAGGAGGAGGAGCAGGAGGAGAGAAACAGGAGGAGAAGCAGGAGGAGGGGGGATGATGATGATGATGATGATGATGATGATGAGATATGATGATGATGATGATGATGATGATGAGATGATGATGAGATGATGATGATGATGATGATGATGCATGATGATGAGAGGAGAGGAGGAGGAGGAGGAGGAGGAGGAGGAGAGGAGGAGTAGGAGCAGGAGGAGAAGGAGAAGGAGCAGGAGGAGTAGGAGAAGGAGGAGAAGGAGGAGGAGCAGGAGGGCTCGTGCGTGGATGAGGAGGAGGAGGAGAAGGAGGAGGAGGAGGAGCAGGAGGAGATGGAGCAGGAGGAGATGGAGCAGGAGGAGGAGGAGGAGGAGGAGGAGCATGGTCATGAGACCCCGGCGTCGCAGTTTTTGTTGCACAGGCCGTTATGCCGCTATCCTTGCCCTCAGGGCCATTTCACGGATCGGTCCAGGTCGGAAAATGTAGCAAAAAGACAAGGTCCATAGTTTCGGTCGAATGTGTTCCACGATGTTGCAGCTTTCCGTGACATCGGATGCCAGGGGAGGACGAGGCAGGAGGCGGAGAGGTGTTCAGTGACGGAGGAGCAGGAAGAGACAGGAGGAGCAGGAAGAGCAGGACATCACAAAACATTCATTCTCTCAGAGTTCCGCGCGGGTTTCTCGGATAGGCCATGGCCGCCCGGGGGAGGCGCCTCCATTATTGCCCCCAGCGTGCTCCGCGCGCCGCGGAGGTGGACCCAGCGCAGATCCGAGAAATTCGCGCGGGCTTCCGAAAGTCTCTGGTGTCTCCGCATTGCTCGACAAAAATAACGGCCTCCGCAGACCACTCCGCCGCATGGCCCGCTCCAGCCCCCTCACGCGCGCCGAATTTTCCCCTCTCACGCGATCCAGCCCTCCTACGCCCGGCGCGCGGGTGGGCGGGTGGACCCCAACGGGCGGGTCGGGCGGACCCTTACGCGCAGCCAGGAGGTTTCTCAGCAGTGGCCAGGACTGAGAAGCCAGTCGAGGTTCTAACATCAACGGTTGCAGCCAAAGACTTCGGCGCCATGCATGCAGGAGCCGCTTTCTCGTCCGATGGATTCGTCCGCAGTTTACGATGCCCCATTACAATTTACCGAGGCGCCGCGCCCTCGAGGCCCAGGAACTGCGCTCTCAAGCGGGACGTCTTCGCAAAGCACTCAGGATGTGTGTTCTCGCCAGTAGCTTTCGCAAAGTGCAGAGATCGTATCGTTGTCCCGCCCGTGAGGGCCCGTCTGCTCGACACGCGCTTTTTAAGGTTCGCCCGCCCGACCTGCCCGTCTGGGTCCGCCTTCCAATCTTCAAGCTCCTCTCTCCTCGCCCTCCATGCACATCCCTTTTATCCTGAATCCTCCCCTTCTCCCTTGTCCCTTCTCGTTTCCTCCTTTCTCTCTCGCTCTCTTCGTTGTTCCTTTTTGCTCCTCCTTGTCCTATTGCAGGGGCCATGCAAACTCCACGTGGCAGGCCAAGAAGCGATATTCCCAAATTGGGAGCAATCGGAAACGACGAGTGCGGGTATCGAGACTTGAACTATACAGATTGAATGACAAACGAGCGACGAAGCGCGAGCAGACTTAACATTGAATGTTGGTGCTGCTGCTGCTGTTGTTGTTGCTGCTGTCGGTGTTGTTGCTGTTGTTTTTGAGGGCCTGGTTTCGACGCAGCCCCGAATCCGAGCGTGAACCTCGCCTTCAAAGAGAAGGTGCAGCGGTGACGAGGCACGAGCGCCAGCGTGACTGCGGGGGGGGTCAGCAATGAAAACTACGGTCAGGAACTGTGGCTGCGCCGCCGGTTCGGTATCCACGTCCCCATTCTCAAGCGTCAATGTCCCGAGCCTCACCGAGCCTCTCATCCCACGACGCGGAGTGACACGCCATCCGCAGGCAGGGCATGCCGTGTCGCCAGGGCCGCCGCGTCAATACGCTCGGCAGAAGTTCCCGACCGCATTTTCGGTTCGGAGTTTGTTCTTATCATTCCGCGTCGCCTGTTCTGGCCCACCACGCTTCGACGGGACACGCCAAACGCCTCCCAGCTTCCAAGCATTTCCAAGCGTCAACTTCCCGATGTGTTCGCCACTTCCCGCCCCGCGAGGCGGGGCGACACGCCATCAGAGCTTGCAAGGCACAGGGTGTCGCCTCCGCGACACGCCGAGCAGAGATCCCTGTCCGTACTCACCAAGATTCAAGACGCCCCCTCCCCCTCCTGCCCCTTCTCTTCCTCTCCCATTCCCTCCTCCCCTCCTCCTCCCCTTCCTCCATCCCAGAGATCCAACGTCGACCCTTTCTCCTGGACTGGCTTTTCATCCCGAGTCTTTTGACAGCCTGGGGTCCGTCGAGGGCCCCCAGAGAGCGAAAATGAAAATGAACCCTCCGTCGTTGACTCCCTCACGACGCGAGGATACCGAGGTCCTTTCCCCCCTTGAGGGTAACGTCAGGGAGGGGATGGGCTCGGGGGGGGGGATCCATCGACCCCTATTCGCCGACTGATCGCGGGTAGGGACCTGATAGCCCTCCCAGCCCAGAAACGTGCGGTGTCACTATCGGGGACCTACCGCCGATCCATCGGCGATGTATCGCCGATCCCAGCTGGATGCTTCCCCCCTGCGCCGGTCCCCCCTATCGTCGCCCCATCATCCTTCTTCCCCGTCCTCGCCCCGCCCCCCGCATCCTTTGCCCCCCCCATCGCGGCGCCCCCGTCCTCGTCCTCGCCTTCCCCTCGCTCTCGCCTCCTCCTCCTCGCCCTCCGCCGCCGCCTCGTCCTCCTCCTCCTCGGTGGCGTCCCCCTCGTCCTCCGCCGCCTCCTCCCCTCCTCCCCCTCGTCCTCCTCCTCGGTGGCGTCCCCCTCGTCCTCCGCCGCCTCCTCCCCTCCCGGCCTTGCCCTTCTGTGCGGCAGGCGGGCGGCCGCCAGCGCCCCTTCGACGAGCCCAGGCCCGCCAGCGACGGCCCGCTGCGGCCCCTCGCCGGGCCCGTGGCGCTCGCGAGGCCCCCGTGTGGGAGAAACAAGAAAGGCGTGCGGCCAGGAGGAGGAGGAGGAGGAGGAGGAGGAGGAGGAGGACACCCGTCGGAGACAGCGGCACCGTGGTGGGGCGAACGCACTGCGCCCGCCTCTGCTGTGCCCAGGATCGGGGAGGATCGAGGAGGAGGAGGATCGAGGATCGAGGAGGAGGATCGAGGAGGAGGATCGAGGAGGTCCCATGACGTCCTCTCGCTGTGGACAAAGCACGACGCAGGGGCTTTCGCCCACACTGTCGACCTCCAGAGTGGCCCTCACCAGGCCGCGGGGCCGTCAAAACATTGACCAGGATGCGAAGTGAGCCCTTGGGTAGGGTTAAGTCGGGCCTGTTCCTCTTCAGGAGGAATTTTCAAACATTGTCAAATAGTCTGGGGACGATGTTTCTATGATTTGACTCCTTGGGAGCATTGTTCTGCTATTTTTCAACTTTCGCCCAATATTCGCCTGTAGGAGGACATGGCCGACCTAAGGGTAGGGGTTCCAGACCTCTGGGGAGCCACGTTGTGAAACATCGCCACTGGTGATGTATGGGACGGTCGGGGACAGATGCTTGGCGTCTTGCGCCTCCGCAAGTAACATCGTCTCGAGTTTTTCGCCGGCCATCCGCTTTTGCGGGGCGGAACGACTCGATATCCGCTTGCAGGGGATAGCGTGTCGGCGGAGCCGGCACGCTAAGCAAACGTTCCCAAACGTAGTGAATCACATCTCGGAGCATGAATTCTCTAATCAGTCATATTTATTCTCGGAGCTGCGCTGGGCCCCCTGGCGGCGCCTCTGGCACCGCCCCCGGCCCGCTCCGAGCGCCAGAGGAGGGGATCCAGCGCCGATCCAAGAAATCTGAGCGGAGCTCCGATCAATTCATGTATATGACGTCTTTGTCTTCCTAACCATCGGCCCCTCCTTCCACACCTTTTGTTTCTGTGCGCTCCAGTTTCTGTAGGTGTCCCCTCCGTCCCCCTCCTTTCCTCCCTCCATCTTCCTCCTCCTCCTCTCCGCGCCCTCCCGCTCCTTCCCTCTTCAGCTGCTCTCTACTCGTACGAGGGACCCTTCGCCAGAGCGACCCTTCGTAGGCGAAGTTCCTGGGGGCGCGGGCAGCCCTGACATCCTTTCGTTTCGTTGCGACTGCATGTGTGTTGCCCATCTTGCCTCGGGGGACCCTCAGCGGGCCCCGGGACCGTCCATCAACGATTCAGGACGAGCAAAAATTGGCCTGGGTGGGGGGGCCTGGTCGGCTACGCGCGAGGGTGAAATCCTCCACGGGGGAACTTCGAAGGGGAGCCCAGCCGTCGCGACGAGGAGCCTCCCAAAGGCCACCAAGAGATACGAGAAGCATTCCGGCAGGCTTGCGTTCCTGCGTGGGGGAGAGGCGCGGGGGCGTGTCGAGGCCCGAAAGGGAGCCTTGGGCTTCACGCAAGCAGTCGGAGCTCACTTGCGCGCCTCTGCGGCCCTGCGCCGTCTGCCAAGGGCGGCGGGGGAGGGGGGGGGGGGGCGAGGTGCTGTGCAAGTGAGCCTGCCTGGGTCCAGATTCTAGATGGCGAAAGCGCTCTCGAAGCTCGAACCTCGAGGCCCGCGGCGCGGCGGCTCGGCGAGGTTGTCCTCGTCCTCGTCCTCGTCGTCGTCGTCGGACGCCCACTGGATCTTCCTCCGTAGGGGCCGTCTCCAGGCTTGAGCCTTTCCCCAGTAATAGGGCCCTTCGTGTAGGAGGTCGGTTTCTGAAGCTCTTTGGATCCAAGTTATTTTCGTCTCGTGGCTTTGCCTCGCTCGTCCTCGTCGTCGTCCTCGCCCTCCTCCTCGTCGCCCTCGCCGTCTCCGTCGTTGCCCTCGTCGTCCTCGCCGTCCGCCCGAAGGTCTTCGGAGCCGAGCCGCGGCGCGGCGCTGGTGATGAAGATCTCGCTGCCGGAGCCGGCAGACACCGGTGCGGCCAACACCGGCAGGTCGTCCAGCCACGCGGGCTCCCGGCGGGGAGCGGGGGCGTTCGGGGTGGCGCACGCCCGGCCCGGACGCAGAGTTGTGCGCGGGGCGCAGCGGGGTCACGGAGCTGCTCGTGGGGCCACCAGTGGGGTGTGAAACAGGTAGCGCCCGTGTGTGAGAGAGGACAGCTACGACGAAGGGGACATCCCGAGAAAAATGAGGAGGAGGGGGAGGGGGAGGAGGAGGAGGAGGAGGAGGAGGAGGAGGAGGAGGAGGAGGAGGAGGAGGAGGAGGAGGCGAATTGTGGCAACGATGACGGGGGTGGCGACGTGGAGAGCGAAGAGCAGCACCAGCGGCAATGGCGTCAGGGAAGCTTTCAGCTCATGGTTAGCGGGCAGGGCCCCTCTGCAACTCGTCTCCATGCTACAGGGATGGTTAGCGGGCAGAGCCGATTTGCAACCAGCCGCCATGTTACAGTGCGCCCTTGCTTCGCAAGTGTACCTCGGCATCTCCCTCATCCAAGTGGTTCCCCCCTCGAACCTCGCCCCCCCGACCCCTTCCACCACCGCGTCGCTTCCACTTGCGCCCCCTGAAACCTCCTCCAACTCCCCATCCTCATCATCATCCGCCCTCGACTCTTCGTCACCAGCTTCCTCCTATCTCCACCTGCCTCATCCGCACTCCCCCCTCCCTCCTCTCTCCCCCCTTATCCCGCCCTCCTCCCCCTCGACCTCCTCCTTCTTCCCCATCCGCCGCTTCCTCTTCCCCCTTGTCATTATCCTCCTCCTCCTCCCCCTCCTCCTCCTCCTCCTCAGGGCGGGCTGGATAATGTTGGGGGTATCTTTCTCCCAGGGAATCAACCGTTGTGCGCTACCATACACGCAAAAGGATTCGTGAGCATTTCCGCATGAGGATTACAATAGGAATTAGTGGTTGTGGTTGTAAGCGTGATTCCAGTCGCGATCGTAGTCGTAATCGTAGTCGTGGCTGAAGGCGTCATCATAGTCGCAATCGTCGTCGCAGTCGTAATTGTCGTCGTCGCGGCGGAGACGATGTTTCTTCCATTGTCGGGCGGGCGGGATCATGATGGGGGCTTCTTTCTCTAAGGGAGTAATGCTTCCTTGACTACCCTGCACGACAGAGGAATGTAGAGCACGTGTGTAAGAGAGTTGCAAAACAGATCGGCACAGTCTTCGACGAAGGTGGTGCTCACAATATCATCTTTCATCTCGTCGTCGTCGTTGTTGTGTTGCGAGTGCCGCAGCGAAATAATTTTTGTCCCATATTGGTGGGGCCCCAGTCTGTCAATAAGGTCGCCGAACATAGAATTAGTTTCCACAGCTTGGGGTGTCCTAAAGACCCAGCTCGGTTATGCGAAGACTCCTCGAAGGCCGGAACAGGAGGGTGGAGGAGGAGCGGTCCAATGGCGATGTTGTGTATCGCGGGCACTTGTGCTAGCCCCCTGGCTGCCTGCCTGCTTCGCCCCTGTTCGAGACCGAGCTCGAGGCGTTTCTCTTGCGCGCCTGCTTGAGCGGGCATTGCCGACGCTACGGGTGCCTTTCCGCCTCACAGCTTGACCGAGAAGGAGAGGTACAGAGCCGCTTTGGCTCAGAACACGGGTGCAGGCGCCCGTGTCCGTACCGTACCGTGGGCCAACACCTCGGCCTCGCCGGACTTCCGACGTCGCATTTTTCTTTGTCTCGGCGGGAACCTCCGTAGGTCTGTTGCACTTACCCTCTCTCCGAGACCAGCTGTTCATCCCCAGTGGCCGTCTGGAGCCGGGTGCGGGGGCGTTCGAGAGGGTGGTGAGGACCAGCGGGGCTCCAGATACCATGGCCAGGAACATGGTCACCTCCCTCTGAAAACGTCCCTTGGCCCCCCCATCGTCCGCGCTCATGCCTCGGTGCATGGTGCTCATGCTTCCGGGCATGGTACGGCCTCCCAGGGCAAAAGCCATACGTCGTCATCCTTTCGCAGCGGTTGGAGGTCTAGATCGCCCTTTCCGCCCTGCCACGCCCCCCCACCCCCCTGAGGGGTCGTCTGATGTGCCGCCATTGCTTTTGATGCCGAGGCCGCAGGCATGGCTCGTGTGCTGGGCTCTGTCCGCCGCCACGGGGCAGGCCTTGAGCGTTGACGCGCGAGACAGCGCGGCCGCGCGGGAAGAGCCCAGGTCGTACCTGGAGACGGTGCTCGTGGTCCCCGAGCTCAAGTTCCTCTTCTGCTACATCCCGGAGGGCGAGCAGGCGGCACAGAGCCCCGAGACCCTGGCGTGGCGATGCTTGCCACCACGGGCGATCTTGACCCTGCTTCGGGCCTCGGGGCCATCGCGGATCGGACCCGAACCTTGCAGCAGGTGAGATCGGGCCCAGCGTTCCGGTCGATGTTGTCTTGCGATCACCTTTTTCTGCCGTAGCGTCGGATCTCAGGGAGCATCGGCGTTCGGTTGCGTCGGGCGTGTCCCTCCGCAGGAGGAGCATCACAAACTGGTCAGAACATAGTCTGGGGGGTGATTTCTCTTGAGTCTTTTTGTCGACCCATTTCTGAATCTTGTTGTTTGCCCCCTCTTCCATTTTCCGTCGAGCGCCCCCCCTGCAGGAGGACATGCCCGACCCAAGCGCTCGGAGCTCCGCGCGGGCTCCCGGAGGTCGGCGCTGGCCGCCCCCCCCCCGGCGGCACCTCACGGCGCCACCCCGCGGAGGTCGGCGCCGGAGGCGCGCCCAGGGGGGGGGGGAGGGCCACAGCGCCGGCCCGTGGAGTCCGCTGTCGGGCCTCGTCGGCAGCTGGTGCTCTGTCATGCCGCGGGCTCTGGCCTCCGGCGTCCCCAAGAATGTCAGAGGAGGGCAGGGTGAGACATAAGGGTGACGTTTTTGCCTTGTTCGCCTCCGGGGGGCCTCCTCGTCGCCACGGCTGGGCGCAGCGTGAAACATCGGTGCGTTTGGGCCCCGGGAGGGGTCGGGGGACCGATTTTGAGCCGATTTGGCCACCGTTGTCTCACGGCCGTTGTCTCACGTTGCCCTCCTCCGAGAATGCCTGCACCCAGTTCAACAAGATGGTGGACGTCCTGAACGGCATGCCCCCAGCAGAGGGCTGGCACCACCAGCTGTCCTCTGCCACCAGGACGTTTGGGTGGAGCCACGGGCGCGTCAAGAAGCTGCTTCGCGACAAGGAGTGGACCAAGGCCGTCTTCCTGCGGGACCCACTGGAGCGGTTGGTGTCGGCGTGGCGCAACAAGTGCAGGCACGGGGCGGAGGAGTGCAGGTTGCCGGGCGGTTGCTCGAACTGCATCGACGGCGATTTCAAAGCGGCCGTGGAGAAGCTGGACAGCGCCGAGGACGAACACTGGGTGAAGCAGAGCTGGTTCGGCGGCGGACTGCCGAGCTCGATCGAGGGCTACGACTTCGTCGGGCACACGTCGAAGAATTTCAGCGACATGCACGCCCAGGTGGTTGCGATGCTGCGGCTGGCGCTGGCACGAAACTCCGACAAGTCGCGGGTGATCGTCCAGGCCATCCCTGGGCACAATTGCTCGGGCCACGCCGATCAGGCGCTGTGCATCTCCACATGGCTCGCGGACACCTACCTGGCGCCGTCGGAAGACAGCGACTGGCACGAGGCGTTCTTCGCTGGCTACCGCGCCTCCCACCAGCCCAGCCTGGCGCGGACGGTCAAGGACCGGGGGCTTGAAGGGTAGGGATTTCGGGCGGGTGGTGATGGGGGGGTGGCCTACATGAGGGGTGAAGGAAGGGCCCTCAAGGGACACGCTAATGGGGGCAAACGATCAAGAAAATGCCCCCCCCCGTCCCAGGGGCCCCAAAATGAATGAGGGGGGCATACTAAAAGATTTCAGCCGCCGGAAACAATTTTTCAATCGTCTGCACCCCTGGCGTTTTATTTTGCCGTCTTGCGGGAACTGATGTCTATTCGTCCTCCTGCGTTCGTTTGATCACCCGCGCCCGCGGGAGGAGGATTGCGGAGAGGGAGCGCCTGAAAGCGCCGCAAGGGAGTCCCAGCGCAGATCCAGGAAATCCATGGAGGACCGCCGAAAATGTATGTTGATGCAGTTGTTTTCATCCCCGGCTTAAGAACCAACATGAGGACGGCACAGCTGTCGTCCTCGCGGACGGCTCTGTGTGCAGAAAAAACAGCACGCAGAAGGATGCGAACCGAACGGAAGCCCTAAAATGAGGCCAGCGCTACAGCGGGAACAGCTTTTTGGAAGAGCCCAACACGATCCAATTGAAATGATAAAAATGAGAAACGGATTCGCGCCAAATCTGTGCGCAATTAATAACAATGCGCGGAGGGGTGCAGGCAATCTTCTGGAGTGCATCAGTGGAGAACGGGGGATAGAATTCATAGTGAGTAACAGTCAAGGAACAGTAATTAGCAGGGGGAAGGTGGCAAGGGATAGAAAAGCGGGGGGAAAGAGGAGGAGCAGGAGGAGGAGGAGGAGCAGGAGGAGGAGGAGGAGGAGGAGGAGGAGGAAGGGGAGGAACATTGGAAGAGGAGGTGGGGAAGAAGGTCGCTGTCTGAAGGCGGCGCAGAATGTTTGTCTTCCGCGCATGAGTGGCGGATCAGAAATTGGTACTTCTCATTCAGGGCTGGCCAAAAGCAACCCCCGCGGCCTCGAATTGTCCGGCCCTGCGGATTCGAATCGTCAGCCCGCGAAGTCCTTCCCAGATTTTGCTTGCCCGGCTCTGAATTGAACCCCCCGCCCCTCCGCCCTGAATTGTCAGCCCGCGCCCCCCCCCGGGCCTCCAGACAGCCCAGGATTGTCCGCCCTTCGTCTGTCTGCCCCGCCCCCCCCGCCATTGCGGTGGCGCGAAGGCCCGCGAAACTATGTTCTAATCGTCCGCCCCAGAAAGTTATTTTGATTTTTTGCTCCCATGGGGGCTCCTTTGCGGGTGCCCCTACAGTGCTCTTTAAAGGCATGTTAGGGCCCTTTTCCCCCCCCCCCCCGTTCAGGTCCCCCCCATGACCACCCGCCCGAGAATTGGGCAAATGACGCTCCTCGAAGTACGAGGGCCGCGGTTCCTACACGATGCTGGGCGTTCCTTGGCCTCTGGGGGCTACCCCACAGTTTCCAGAGGCCTCTGGAGACATCCAGAGACCAGGCGTGCCCGTGGCGAATTTCAGTCTCCCCAGAGCTCGACTGGGGGATCGAGTACAGAATTGATTTACCCCAGAAATGATTGTCCGTCGAATCTACGAACGAAACCGTAGAACGTTCTACACCGCATCTATGCATGTTTCGTAGACAGGACGAACACATCAATTCTGGGGAAAATCGATTGTGCCGTCGGTCCCCTACTCAAAGAGCGACCCGCAACGGCCGCGGCGCCCGATGCATCCTCCGAGCCCACGAACTCTCTGACACTTGCGCTTCGTATCGGTCCCGCTTTGGTTTCCGTCGCGGACTCGTCTCGAGAGGCCTCGCGAGGGTTGAGGGCCGCTGCGTTTGACGACGGCCACCACGAGAGTGCGAAGTTGGTCGCGCTGCGCAGATTGGGCGATTGCAGAGCGAGGTGCGAGTCCCTCATCCTGTTCCGGGAGGGGCGGCGCGAAAACGCGAAGAAAATCGTACTTCGCGGAGCGCGAAGCGCGAAGATAGTTGCCTTAGTTCGACCGGTGCCGGCCCTGCCTCCCAGCAGTTTTCTCGATGCCTTTGGTAACCTCCCCTGCCGTCCCCGAGATCCGATTTCACGAAGGAACGCAGCATCGCAAAAAAGCTTGAGCGGAGCCCTGGACCCCGTCTTCCTGCTGCATTTCTTCAGCCGGATCGATCTGGGGTCCCGCGCCGCACACAGGGCAAAATCGCCCCTTGTGAACAAATTGCGAAGCCAGGATCTCAGGGGCCCCCCCCGAAAGGATCCGTTGCCAACGCCAGGTGGTGCCGAAGGCCTGGCAGACGAGTACTTTCCAGATGACCACAGCCCGGCAGTGAACCCGACTGGCACGGCCAGCGGGGAGGACAGCTTCACGTCTGAGACTGTGGGCAGGGCCCTACGTTACTACAAGGAGGACTACGACGGGCTCCCGGGGCTCTCCGTGCCTCAGTGGGCTTTGGACATGGTCGGACGGGGCCAGGACCAGGATAAATCCGTGCCAAAACGTTTCGGACGCTCTCAAAGCGTTCTGGAACGCTCTGAAAAGGCCGCGGCGCCCGAGACATCCTATCCCAGATATCCCCGATGTACCGTCACCCCATTTTATCCTCGTCCTGGGTTCGTCTTACATGGCGTGGTCTTTTGAGAACGCTGCGCACGTTGAGAGCTCCGCGCGCAGCTCGCCTTGAGGCAAAAGGACGAGGAGGATGAGCTATGGAGCCCGCACCTGACATGTGGGTGTTCGGGCAGGGTTGGGGTGGTATGGTAGGTAGTCCGGAAGAAGAGGAGGAGGAGGAGGAGGAGGAAAAGGAGGGAGAAACCAGTGTAAAGCCAAACATCATGAACGATATTGCAATACCCCCATCCTCCAAAACGCTTTTCCATATGTCCCTACTAGAGTTCACTATCATTGAGGGAAGTGCCCCGCTGGAAGACTACCGTCTCAGAATCCCGAACAGTGCCAGAACACTGTTCCTGGGACTTCATCGCCGCGAATCAGCGTTACTGGCGTGTCCTTACGACTCTGAATCGCAGTTTCTGGGATTTCATGACCGCGAATCGACGTGACTGTTACACACTGGATGTCCAACATCGCGTCAAAACACAATTTTTGGAACGTCAACCATAAGAACAACTGCTGTAAACTCTTAAGACGATTGTGCGCGGCGCTCTGGCGAGAGCCACATTTTGCATACGACCCGCCCTTCATCCGTGAAGCTGCTGCAACAGTTTAAGACGAATGCGCGCCTCGTTACGGCGAGACCCATATTTTGACCACCCGCCCTCCATTCATGAAGCTCTTGCAAACCTGTAAGGCGAATGTGCGCGTCGCCACGGCGATATTCACATTAATAAAAAGGGCCCGCCCTTGTCAGCATACGAATCATAAATGGTGAGGAAGTCTCAAGCGAAACGCCCGGCCCGCCCCACCAAGACGTCTCAGGGTGCGGCAGGGAGGCGTTATTGCCAAGGCCTTACGGCCAGTGCCGCCGACCCTGGGCAACGACCCTCACGATGGAAGAGACATTCGGGATGGTCGGGATCAGACGCTCCTAAGAGTGCCCAAGAGGCTACACGAGGCCCCCAAGAGGTGCCCAAGAACCCCCACCAAGTTTTGGGAGTGTCTCGGGAGCCTTTGGGAGCATTCTGGGGCTTCCTGGCGGTTCCTTGGGGGCGCCTGGGGGCCTCGTGGGGGCCTCCTGCGGGCCTCGTGGGCCCCGGGACCCCCCGAGGGGAATGGCATTCTAATTTGGGACTCCCCCTGGGACCCCCCCCTACCCCCCCCCCCAGGAGCCCCATCCCTTCCCCCTGTGGGGAAGGCATCACATGGAACGGGCTTCACCTCGACTCAATTACGACGTCGCCCAATCTCGCTTAGGCTGTTCCGCGTTGGCAGACTCGCTTAAGGATGAGGGCACAGGGAAAGGGGGGAGCGGCGACGGCGACGACCACAGCGACGACGACGACGAGGAGTCAAACGAATCAGCCTCTTGCACACGCCGACAGGGTCGGCGGATTCATAAGGAAAAGCGACGGAGGAGCAGCAGACCCTCGCGAACTTTTTGGAGTGGCGCTGGGCCCCTCCCTATACCGTGGCGGTGCCTCGCGCGCCGCCCCCCGGAGCGGAAGAGGATGGCGGGAGAGCGGGCACGGCGAGTTGCGGAGGGGAGGGGAGCAGAAGAGGAGGAGGAGGGGAGGACAAGCTAGGTGCGCTCGCGTCATATCTGACGTCCTACCCCTCCCTCCCATCCCTTACCATGGCGCTGATTTTCTCTATCCGCGGACGCGTGTCGTAGCGGACCTGTGGCTCCGCGCGCGCGTGCGTAGTGGGTGGTGGTGCGCGTGCGTGCGTGCGTGCGTGTGTGCGTGGTTGTCGTGGTGGTGGTGGTGGTGGTGGTGGTGGTGGTGGTGCTGCTGCTGGTGGTGGTGTTGGTGTTGTTGCTGGTGCTGGTGCTGGTGCTGGTGCTGGTGGTGGTGCTGGTGGTGGTGCTGGTGGTGGTGCTGGTGGTGGTGGTGGTGTGGCTGGTGGTGGTGGTGGTGGTGGTGGTGCGGCGCGGTGGTGGCGGGCGGATGGGCGCGCGAGAAAGAGGCCCGCGCTGGGGCGAGAACGCCATCCTAAACGACGGAGGCCAAACACCGATCCGAAAATGCCCACGCTGCAGCGGGAGCACGATTCGGAACGATTCGGGAGCAGAAATGAGGCCGGCGCCTCAGCGAGAGCAGCATTTTGGAAAAAAACGCAGGCGAAAACCCGTTTCCTGGGAGGAGGAGGAGGAGGAGGAGGAGGAGGAGGAGGAGGAGGCGAGTAGCTTGCAGGAGTTCCCCGAGAAACCGACCACCCCTGGAAACATGAAACCCCTAGCCACTTAAGGCGGGAGGGGGAGGCGAAGCCTCAGAAAGTAAAGCCGAACGAGTTCAGGCGCGGGGGGGCAGCGGGCCCCCCGTCCTGGGGTGAAAGCCCCGCTCCACCAGGTCGGCCTTCCTCTTCTGGTTGGCCCTGGTGGCGGGATTGGAAGACGGCCCCACACGCTTCGAATTCAGATTCGAGCGTCCGCTCCACCCCTCCTCCCCCGACGACGAGGCC